TCTTTCATCTTGAATGAAAACTAAGGTAATCAATCCTTTTCCTTTTCAGTTCCGAGGTCTCAACTTCAAATACCCTTGAGTTGATCTCTACTGCCGAGTCTGAAGACGCGAAGGGTACAACTGACTCTGCTGAGTCAATTCAAAGGTATGTGATTAATTCTCCTTTGGATTCTCCTTCAATTTTTTTGCCTTGTGTTTCGTCTTACTGAGATATGTACAATGTGATCGATCCTTGTCCTTTTCAGTCCCAAGGTCTTGACTTTAAATACGCTCGAGTTGATCTCTACTGCCGAGTCTGAAGACGCGAAGGGTACAACTGACTCTGCTGAGTCAATTCAAAGGTATGCGCTTAATTTTCCTTTGGATTCTCCTTCATTTTTTTTGCCTTTTGTTTTGTCTTACTGAAATATGTATAACGTGATCGATTGTTTTTGTTTTTAGCTCTGAGGTCTCTACTCCATCTGTTCGAAGCCACGAAGTCTACGTCTTTGTTGGTCCTCCTCGTTCTTGACTTCAAAGGTCAAAGAAGATCGGATCGCTCTGTACTATCCAGGAGAACTCTGAATCATCCTGTCATCCTGAGCACCTCTAAAGGATGAAAATTTAGAAGTTCTTAGGTTGAATGTGATGCTTACGAAATGTATACTGCGAAGTTGAACTCCTGGTTTAGGTCCTTCGAGTTTATTTTTCGGTTCTTCGTAAACTGTAGATAGGAAATTATAATTGTTAGTTATAATTCAACTTAGGTGCAGGATGGATACTGCTGCCCGGTACTCACCAATGATCTTAATCAACTGGTCGTCTTCCAAAGGGAATGCTAAGACTAGCAAACAATCCTTGAGGTTACACTTGAGTGTTGGGTGATTTGTAGTAAATCAAATGGGATGAAGGACTTTAGTCGAATGGCCTGAACCAACGATCTGTAACGCCTTCGAAGAGATAATAAAATGACAAAGAGAAAAGATAACAAGCTTCAGAGTAAGAACTACGAGTAGATACTAAAGATTGCTATCTGGGTAACAGTAGTTCAGATTGGAGAAGTTTGATAATGGAAGAAAAAAGGTTTTGGAAGAGGCTTTTCTAAAAACGGGGAAAACAGAAAGATAAGTCTTTTTAAAAGTTGAGTCTAATAGTAGTTGTAGTGGGATACAATTTCTAGAAGTAAACTAGTTAAAAGGATGTAGCTTTCGAGTTTTAAATTTTTAGTATAAGGTGTAATGATAAGGTGGTCCTCTTCAGTTATTCACCAACTGGTGTCTTTATATGGGAACCATCGCTTCTTTGTTAGACTGGTTCAAGATGGTCTGCTGCGTTATTCTAACCTAGCCTGGTCGTGAGCTTTTGGTCGTAGGGGGCTGTTCTCGTTTCTGAAGCCTGGTCAGGGTCTTTTGATAAATGAAAAGGTACCCTTGATACGTCATGCTTCAGAAACTTTGATAAGTTTTAATTTAGATAAAAAACACTTTGGTTCTCGACTTAAGATGTTTTTAGTTTTAATTGTTTTTTATAATGATTACACTCTTGAAACTAGAGTGAGAGAGATGTAATTTTATTTATTTATTGTGACTGCTCATGAGGCTTTTTGCTCTGCAAAAAGCCTTCTGGCTGACACATCCTTCCCGGGAGTTTCTCAGGATATCCAACCTTCTCTACGCATCCGCATCACTTCGAAATCAAAGACAATCACTGCTGGTCGCGGTACTCCAGGGTTTAGCCCTTGTGATGTGACTGGAACATTATCTCCGTCTTTAACGGAATATGACGCAGTCGATTCTGCTCAAAACCGGCTTTCAATTGCCTGAGCTATCACTGCAAAGATAATATATTTTTCCATGGTGCAAAATGATTGCATTTATTTTAAAATGATTGACAAAAAACCGCTTCTGAAATTTAGGGCCCAGTTTTAGCCCAAAACTCTTGGAAAACGGATTGCAGAGAGATACAATGCTGTTTGTCCTTGAACGTTTTTTTCAAGTTGCTTAGGGTGTTTTACTCAGAAGTAACTCAGCAAGCAATTCCTGATACTTTTTCTGGTTTTTGAAAGCTCACAGCAGTTCAAAAAATCCGGAAAAATCAGAACAGATCAGAAATGCCCTTTGTAATGTTTGGTGATTTTTTTGTATTTTTTGGTGCCTTTGTCTTGGATATATGCAATGTATAACACCAAAAGTTGTTCTCTGTTTGCCAAATAGATTGTACAGTCATTCCAGTTTTGCTTGTCCATTCAGATTTTTTATTTTTTATTTTTACGTCAATACAGGCCAATACAGGCCATTTTATAAGCATATATAGCCTTCAATCAAGATACCCCAGTTCAAGTGTATTCAATTGAAGAGGGCTCTTGATCACCATCAATGCTGCCGACCATCAGATTCAGGATTCAGCACCGATCCATCCCCTCCAAACCCATCCATGCATGACTCAAATCATCCAATTGCTTTTCTCTACCTAGTCACCACCATTCAAGAATTCAGCTTACCAGCTTTCACTCCGTGATTCAACCCTTTTGGTCTTGACTGGAACATCTCGGCTTTGACTCAAGTAAGCTCCTTGAATATCTTTCTCATATTGAGATCAGTCATCAGATTGCTGAATATCTTCCTCATCCGTCCAGCCAGGTGAATGTCCCGGTCCATTCATCGAGGTATCTTCAAGCTATTCAACTCGATTCTTTATCAGTTCTTATACTATTGCTAATTCAAGGTGCTCTTTGACTCAACTCTTGTTTACCGACTAAACACCCGCTAATTGGAATGTTTCACTTCTCTCGACTCCCTTCTGTCTATCGACTCAAGCTCTAGCCTTTGGTTCAAACATTTCAGGGTACTTTTGAGATCAATCAAACCACTAAATCACATTCAGCGTCAAGGATCGATCCTCTGTAAGTTGATTTGTGTGGATACTGTTGATTCATCTGGTGTTACTTGTTTATTGCTAATCATCAGTAGGCTACTTACCCTGGTTGCCCAGAGCTTCACATCAATCTGTCTAGTTTTCTGGATCTTTTATTGTTTTTTCTTGCTATGCAATTTTGTTGTGCTCATACTTGAGAAAGAATAAGTGTCTTATTTGTCTATAGGAAGTTTGTACCTGCCATCCAAATGGCCATTATCAATAAAATGAACGGTTTACTTTCCTCATTCTTGGTTCTTATAATCGATATACTTTCTGGACTCTTTCCATTGCCTGTGGGTACAGTGTGTCTCATTAGATCCACAGTTTGATCTCAGAGTGTATGGAACTCCTACAAGTGCATACCAAGACACTGTTTTTATGCACTGTCTTGGCTCCTTTGCAGTTTGACCTGAGCTCGTACTTGGGACTAGTAGTCGCTGGCTTCCTTACAGACTTCAGCGTGAGGTAAATTTCCTCTACAACTCGAGCTAAGAACTGTTGGCACTCAGCCTATCTGTGACTACTATCATTGCACATGATCTCCTCATTTATGACAAGGTGGCGATGCATTTGAGAAGTGATTGGAGCATCACACGAAGAGACTGTATTTCAAAGAGTCTCAATGGCCAGCTGAGACTATGAAAATATAAGCAGGATTAACATTAAGACAACGGATTTAATCTGATGGGGCAGAATCACAGAGCTAAGGAAGATATATAACATTGGAACGATTGAGTTCACCAAAATACATCTAGAGAATCAACCATTGGATCCAATGCTTACAAGTTAAATCCGAGGCCTAAAGGAAGGATTCACAAATGAGACAAGATTTGAAGACATTACTTCACTAAACATAAGCTTGGGGAAATTGAACCAACATTAGGGTGATCGAGTGATGGCAACAATTTGGCTTCTTTTTTGGTATTGTGTGGGTAGCGAATGAAACCTAGATCAATGTGTTTCATAGCAATCCATTTCATCTTCAATTCTTCTTCATCATCTGCTTGATACGGAATTGCCGAGTGTTTTGGAAGTAGCGGATAAAGGTGCTTTGAGTAATCCACTCCAATCTGATGAATTTCGCCGACAATGTAATTTCAAGGAATGTCAGTATTGTTTTCAAGCTAGTTTTTGATTGAGTGAGTGTACTTTACAGAATCAAATCAAAGACACCAAGGGTTGAATCAAAGATGGGAAGGTTTGAACCGAAGCTGAGAGGTCTGAATCGAAGCAGAGAGCCTCAAATCAAAGCCCAGAAGACTGGGACAAAACTCACATCAAAGTGCCTTGGCTGAGAGGATGAACGATGAAAGATAGGATTGAGCTGGAACGATGTGTGTGAGAACAAAACGATGGTGATGAGGACAGGTTTGTAATAATCAAGCGCTGTGGACTGTGGTCAGCTGTGGTTGGTGAGACTCAAAACTCCAGAATAAGCATATGACTCATATGTTTATGCTTATAGATTCACCTGTATTGCAGTCAAAAATAAATAAATAAAATCCGATTGGACAAGCAAAATTGGAATGACTGTAAATGTATTTTGGGTCACCAATGTATCAAATGTGGGCGGATTATCCTAATTTTTTTCCACATAATGGCACATCCTTTGTTGTGTTGCAAATTTTTTTCTGGGTGGTTTTGGAGGTTTGTACATATGTCAGCATAATATATATAGTTTTAACAATACACATGTGATGGTATACATACTGAGCCAGCAAGATCCCGAAAAAAACGTTCAACAAAGGGGATGCTGTCCTTCACTTATGATTTTTTTTCTGGCTTGTTCTTGTTAATTTTGGAGGCATAAATGAGTGCGCAAGTTCTGCATTTCTGTCTATGTTGCCAAAAAATCTGGGAAATCACCAAACGGAGTGCCAGGATTTTTCTATATCCGCCAAAATCTCCCACCGGAAAGAAAATCACACAATTTTACTTACCTGATTTTTTCAGATTTTTTGGACCAATATGAAGCATGCCATTTCAATTGCTGGTTTCAATCATTTTTCACCATGGAAAAATATATTATCTTTGCAGTGTATGTTCTTTGTACCCGCATTAATCTATCAATTGGATAAACCTCGATTGATTCCTCGGGTGAAGATTAGAATTGAGAAGGATATCTTTCGAATTATGAATCGTCGTATGACAAAGTTATCGCGCGAAAATTTATTAAGAGGAGCAATTGATGTCTTTGGATATTGGGCTCAGCAAATGTGGGCACGTGATCGATTAGATGAAGCCTTCAAGTATGTCACAGCATTCTCAATTTCAAGTTTCAATTCACAATTTGGATTTTACTATGAGTTTCTGACATGTCATTCTTTGCGCTTCTGGTTTTTAGGGCGCAAGATTTAATCACTGCATACAACACTATTTACAAATAAATTCACTCAACCATCAACTTCATTCTAGATCCTTCACAACTGCTCGTTATATCCAAATTTGATATCCTTATTGTAAAACAATTCTCATCTTGCGTAAATAGTCACTCATTTGGATTTTTTATCTCACTTATCAAAGGTTTTCAGCTATAGTCTTTATTTGGTTTATGATGCTTGCTTTGAAGAATGAATGTATCAAGGATCTGGTGGTTGCGTTTACTACCATCTCTTTTAGAAAAATCAAAAATCTCACCTTGCTTGGATAGTCCCTCCTTCAGAAAAATTTCTTTTATCTCACTTATCAAAGGTTTTCAGTTATAGTCTTTATTTTGTTCATGACGCTTGCTTGGAAGAATGAATGTATCAAGTATCTGGTGGTTGCGTTTACTACCTTTTCTGTTCGAAAAATCAAAAATATCATCTTGCTTAAATAGTCCCTCACTCATAGACATTTCTCGTATCTCACTTATCAAAGGCTTTCAGCTATATTTTCTATTTTGTTCACGTCACTTGCTTTGAGGAATGAATGTACAAGAATCTGGTGTTCACTACCAGTGGGGTTTATCCACCTCTTCATACGGCGAGATGTCCTTGGGCATTTTGAGCTCACTACAAATCCTACATTATGGGATATCGGCTTCAGTACCACATGCTGACTCCGAGCAAGAGTCCCTTTCGAGTGAGATAAGGGTAATTTGGGCCGAAGAATCTGACCAGTACTTCACTTAATTCACCACTGATACTACTCTACAAGAATCACTATTTTATTGTAAGGGTGAGGAGGACCATTAAGAGGAAATGAAGTGATGTCTGCTTCATGGTTGAGATGAAATTAGATACGCAGTCACTGCGGAATATATTACGGATTCAAGTCAAGGTTTTGTTTTTATTTACCGAACGGTAATGAGGAGCTCACTGATCGCTTCTGTTCATTTCTCTTTCTTCAATTTCTCCTCAACCAACTCATCAACTTGACGAATCAAAAACGTTTTCATCCTCTTTAACGTCAACCAACTTAACAACTTATCAATCTTCACTCTCGGACGACCCTTCCAAGGTCAAGATTCAATCAAGATTCAATTTCTTTGACCAAAATCTCATTTTGTTGACATTGGCTTAATTTCTTTCTGAATCGCTGTTTCACACATTCTGGGATCTTTTACAGATATAATTCAATCAATTTCGAACAACATGAACAACCCAATGTCACCAATGTTCTTAACCAACCCAATTTTACACATCACCGGTATTCTACCAGCAGTACCAGATAGCGATCTCATTGATGCCTTACAAGAGTGTCTCAGGGCTAGGCTTCGGATCAATCGAGATGGAAGCAAGTGGGATGAGACTACCGGTGTAGTAGAGTTTGAGAAACTCGAGAATGGTAAGTCGTTATCCTTTACACCTTCACGATCTCATTTCGATCGATCGTATCACAAAGGCTGATTGTATGTGTGGTTGTCCCTTTTTGTTTCTGCCCTGGCATTTGACCTATCATCTCTAGCTGAAAAGGCTTACGCTACCTTACAAAATTACTACTTTCCCGAGTTCAAATGTACCATGAAGTTATCTCATTCAGCTGACCCTACAGCCGATCCAAAACCATCCGCTAAAATCCGTTTAGTCAAGTTCTTACCACCTAATATCACCCCTGGACAACTATTTTCCCTTTTTCGACCTTTCGGACCAATCTATCGTGTCGCTTTAAATTACATACGCACTGAGAGCGATCAACCTGTCTTTTCTGGTACGGCTCTCATCGAGTACTACGACGAAAACCAGGCTTCTTTGGCTCAAATCGAGATGCATTGCAGTGAGGTACAAAATCATACGATTGCAGTAGAACAGTACGACGATAAGAGGGATCGGAATGGGCGAGCTACTGCTTCGATGAACATTTCACCTTCTGGTCTTGCATCTCAGTGGGCACAAGCCACTCCGTTCATACCTGTCTCCGGTGCTTCTGATAGCAACGCAAACGTGTCAAGATGGGCCAGCGATCAGACTCAGGCTCAACCTTATCACCATCATCAACATCCTCTTTCACCTCTCAATGAATCCTCACGATCGGCTGTATCAAATTGGACCTTGTCACCTCAAACTCCTCTGAATGGCGCACATCTCAATCGAGCACCTTCTCAGAGCACCACAAAACATATCGATCCTTGTAACCTCTTTATCAAAGGTTTAGGTGCTGATGTCGATTCAGGCGATCTATTTCATGCTTTCAAGAAGTTTGGTACTATTGTCTCTGCTCGGGTCATGAAGAATGAAGTGACAGGAATTAGCAGACAGTTTGGTTTTGTGAGCTTTTCTACCGAAGCTGAAACTTCAGCTGCATTAGAGGCCATGGATGGTGCTCAGATTGGATCAACCACGAACAAGATTGTGGTGCGGCTACATGAGTTGAAGAAGCACAAAGAAGGTAGGACTAAAACCGTGAAATCGCCCAGGAGTCCGAACGAGAATAGCCAACACGCTGGATTCATGTCAATGCATGGTGCGACATCTCCTAGACTTAGTCGAGCAGGTAGCATGGATGCCCGTACAGATATTCAAATGGCGGAGGTTATGGCTGGTAATAGTATGGAGCTGAATCGATTGCAGGTTCGATGCACTTTATTGAATGACGTTTGATCTGCTCTTGACTGATATTGTGATCTTTTGATGTTACCATTTTTTCTATAGTCAGACAGCCCAGCTATTGCGCCTTCCATGCGGTCCGAAAGCCGATTTCCCCTATCGCCTCCGACAGTTCAATTATCTTATGCCTTATTATCAGGAAACACTCCTTCCAGCCGCCATTCTCCCACCCCTTCCAACGTTTCTCTAACACCTTTATCAGAACGCGAAAGGATGCTCACAGCCGTCCTGAAACTCAATAATCCTACCATTGGACAAAGATTAGATGAACTAGTCGATCTCTTGATGGGTCTACCTGCCAAAGAGAGAAAACTTTGTTTATTCAATCCTCAAGTCTTAGCTACCAAGGTCTGTGAAGCTAAAGAAATCATGGATACCCCCGATGAAGTGATGGAGATAGTAAACGCATCAAGTGCAGCTTTACCTGTACCATCACCTGCTGTACCTGTGACGACAAACTTGGATGCTTCTAATACTTCTCAAGCTGCCTCATTACCTACACCCGCACAGACCCCATCAAGACCCTCGTCAGCTACTCGTGTCAACTCGGAACAAGCGCCTGCGCCGACTACACAAGAACCCACTATAGCCGCCTCATCAACACCGGCACTTTATCTTACAACTAAGGATCTAGCTAAACTTCCTTCAAAAGAAATTGTAGATCTCATCTTTACTTCATCACCTCTGATCCAAGCGGATATCATGCCAAGTTTTGATCAAAAAGTCAAAGAAGAAACAGATGAATGGATGGATAAGTTGATGACTTCCACAATTCATCAACAAAAGCAAAAATTAGGTGAAAAGGTCTTTAAAGCCTTGAGAACATTTGGGATCAAAGGATGTGTAAGTCAATCTGAAGATCATCAAGTTTGAAAGACAATCACGCATTTAGCTTACGTTCTTTTTTCTACCTTTGAATTCGGGGGGGTTTTTTTAGCCAAAACTTACAGTTGATTTACTTGATTCTGAAGATTTAAGATCTTTGGCTCATTTAATGAACTCATTCTCAGATATTCTAAAACAAAAGGTTTTAATCAAAGCTACATAATCGTAAATGTTAATGTGAATCAGTTTAATTTCGAATTTCTATGAAAAAAAAGTTGACAAAAACAAATCAATTTGAGTTTCTTTTGAGTTTTTCCCCCCCCGTTGGTTTCTCTTTGTAATCAATTCCATTTCTATATTTTCTTTTCATTTAGATTCAAGAAAAAAACGTTGTGTGTTGTGTGTTGTGATTTGGATTTTTTTTCTAGTTTTTTTTATCAAAACGGTTTCGATCCTCTCGATCTTTAGATTTGACCTTTTTCTCAACTTTTTTTCATGTTTTAATCATACCACCCTTGAGTGATGTTTTTGGGTTTCTCTTTGCAATCATTTCATTCCTTCCTTTAATCCGATTGTGACTTGCCAATTTGAATCAATTGTCTTTACAAGCAAATATACATATTTTGTTTGCTTTTGTCTTCATTCACATTGTCTTTGATCTACCAATCCAATTCAACATCAGCATTGTTTTCTGAATGGGTTGAGATACAAATCAACTTTATTCAAAGGATTATTTGGTGAATTGTGTATGCCAAAATTAGTTTCTCAGCGTCAAAATAATGGTGCTTGCTTTTGCACGCGCCTCTGTTTGTTATCAATGTACGAAATTCCGAAGTTGGAATGCAAAACAAAAGGTGTCATGTAGTAAGGTCTGTGTTTGCACTAGGAATGGCACCACGGCCACATGGTTCACCTCTGAGATGTTTTATTTTGATTGCAAAGTATAGTGAAGAGGGAAAGGGGAAAATGATACATGAGACAGTGATTATTCCAATTCGACTTCAATGTGGCAAGAAAGCACACAAAAGCCTAAGACTATAGCAATAGGTGGTATACATGTGGGGATTGGCATCATAGAAAAACGGGGTCCAGATAAAAAGTTATCATCACTGCAATCGGGTTGGAAAGACAGTTCAGATGGGTACAAAGATATACATGAAATATAAATAAGGCAGTAAAAGAAGAAATTCCAAGAGAAATTGGAGTATGAAAAGAGAGGAAAAGTCCTGGCCATAATGGCTAAGTAAAAGTCGCGGCTATCACAATATTGTTCATCAGGCTCAAGCAAGTGATTTGAAACCTAATGAGGAAAAGAGAAAAGAATTCGATTCAGCATAAGGCGAAGTAAAAGATGCAAGATGATTGAAACTGACTCTCGATTTCTTCGAATAAAAGGCGTTTCAACTCCTCACGGCTAATGTCATCCTTTTGTCGGTCAAAGGCGAAGAAGTCTTCATCGAGAGGTGGAGCAACGGGCTCATCCTCGGGGTCGTGGTAGGCTTCCAAGTAAGGATGTTGGAGAGCTTCTTCCACCGTCAATCGTTTCTTAGGGTCGAAGGTCAAAGTCTTGTTGAGGAAATCAATCGCAAGAGCGGAGGCGTTGGGGTAGATGGCAGTGAAAGGACGTTTCTTGCGGAAAGGTAAAGCCCTGATGTAATCCCGAGACCGACGGGAGTTGATCGCATAGAATTCGTCCAAAGTGGGTGTGCCGAGCACGTCAAGGATCAAGGTGAGTTGATGATGGTAGTCACGGCCCGGGAAAAGGGGTCGACCAGACAACATCTCAGCCAAGATACAACCGACCGACCAGACGTCGATGGCTTTTGTGTATTGCTTGAACCTGTCGATGGACAAACATCAATAGGGGCCTTGAATGATAGAAAAAAGGACTGATAACTTACGTGAGCATGATCTCAGGCGCACGGTACCATCTGGTGGCCACATATTCGGTCATAAAACCAGTCTCTTGCTCAGCGGTCCGGACACTTCGAGCGAGCCCAAAATCGCACACTTTCAAATCGCAGTTGGCGTTCAAAAGCAAGTTCGATGGTTTCAAATCACGGTGAATCACATCGGCGGAGTGAAGGGCCTTCAAAGCTCGCAAGGTTTGATAGATGAAATATTGACAATGATCATCAGAAAGATCTTGAGTTCGGATGACTCGGTGCATGTCCGTCTCCATGAGTTCCTAGGGAAAAAGAATACGCTGATCAGAATAAAGACCAACAGAAACGAGATGTGTGGAAAGTGGCTACTCACTTGAATCAAATAGACCTCTTTGAATGCCTCAATCGAGGGTGGGCGAATGATGTCCACGATCGAGATAATCTGTCATGAAGAAAGAGTCAGTAGCAGTTCCAGAGACCAAAGGGAAAGTGTGAAACGCATACATTTTCGGAGACGTTTTGCTCTTGAAAGTACTTCAAGAGTTTCAATTCACGAAGAGTTCGTAAACAGAACATGGAATGATCGAAGGGTGTGATCTGACGGATGAGAAAGCGAGGGGTTAGAAATGAATTGATACTTCGAGGGTGGATGTAGAGATAGACTAACCTTTTTGATTGCAACCTTTTGTCCAGTTGGGCGATGAACGGCCGAACAGACTACACCGTAAGCACCCTCACCAATGACATCCATGACATGGTACCTGCAAAACACGAGTGGAGTTAAAAAGTCAATGGCGGTTCTGATTGATTATTCTGGAGCAGATAAGGTGACTTACTTTGAACCAACGTTGAATCTAACTCTCCGAGGTTCAGCTGACTTGGTGGAAGACTGCTTGACCACTGGGGCAGCAGCACCTGTGGTAGCCGGGGCAGCGGCGGCTGGAGCAGCGGCAGCAGGTTGAGTGGTAGCGGCAGCTATGGGGTTTGCAACAGCGGCAGCCATAGTGTAGATGGAATAGACTATTGAGATAAGACTGTGAACAGTGATTGAAACAGGAGAGAGAAAGCGGTAGTGTCCGAGTTAAAGATCGATGTTGGAATGGGGGGAAATGTAAAGTGGGACGGTTGTTGAGCTATAAATGAGAGGACGGAAAATCAGCCAAGGAAACCAACTTGAGAGAAGGCGGAATGCGATTGTGCATCAAGCGAAGACGTGGGAAAATGGTAGTCACTAGTGGTGGTGTAGGGAACACAAGGGGGTGGGAGTAAAGAAGAAGAAGAGGCGCACGTACGCTTATTGAAAGGATGACGTTCAAAAAGCTCGGTCTTGAAGCGGAACAATGGGCTTGAGAGCAAGAGAGGTAACAGGCAGGTTTAAGAAGGTTTGATGGTGTCTTCTGAAGTTCAGCAAACGGCAAGCCTAAATAGAGAAAGAGATAGGGAAGAAAGCAAAGAAAGGATAGAAAACCAAATTAATGGTTTATACGTGTGAGAAGTTGGAAGAGTGTAGGAAAACTTGCTTTGTAATTTGTTGGTTTGTTGGTCGGTAGTGGATTGGATGAGAATGGGAATGGAGTCTTGTTGTTGGTTGACAATGAAGGGTAAAAGAAACAGTCAAGCGAAAAAGCGCTGGAGATGAGCTGTAGGGGTTAGATAGGGAATGAATTAAAACGAAAAGGAATTAGGCACTCGAACTCAGTCTGAATTTATATCAATCCTTGGGATCGGTTGATATCCATCAATGAGTCGATTGATTCAGCATTTGAAAGTCTCTCCATCTCATCATGTAGTGTACAAAGGGCCGGTAAACTCAAGAACTGCCGACCGGGCAAGTAATTAATTAATTGATGGTGTTGGTTCTACCTACCTTGTATTCATTTTATCACCAAATCGTTTTGATCAAGGATGTCATATTGGAACTTGAACTCGAAGGTTGCGCACAAACAAACTTCCGATCAAAACTGAAATCATAACACCTTTTGATGAGCGAATTCTATGAGATAAAAGCCATATGTAGTCACCAGTCCAACCAATTTGAACCAACTTATGACTTTGACCAGATTCAGGTTTTAGCCGAAGGCTCAGCACTCAAGTTAGATAAGTCTTTCAAGCAAAGATCAACTTTCTAAGGGATCTCAGATTAACTTTCCTTGTGTATCAGGGGGTTCACTCTAACGATTCACCATCGCGGCCTCTTCAGATCTTTTCTGTCGGGGACCACAACCATTCAGGTTTTCCCTTTATCACACTTTTTCCACTATTGCGCTCAATTTATATGTGCGGCGCTAAAGGGCATGGTTACAAATACGTACGTATGTGCTTTTATCGTTGCTGCCGTTGAACGTCAGCAACCGCAAATTTACCCACTCCCGGCGCATGAAATCCCGATCGGCTTGTCCATCTAACGAGCCTCGCTAGCGCATGTCAAGCGGAAATTAGTTTCCATGGTGATCAAAACAGCAGCGTGAAAGAGTTTGGACACCTTGTGATAAACACATGTAAATCCTGGCAACATAAAATCAGTACAAATGCAATTACAAACTGGTAGATCAAGATTGCTTCAGAGCCAATACGCTGACTTGAGACTTGGTTGGATGTTCCACCTGTTCAGTCTTTGCTATGCTTTCCTGCTATGCCACCGTCATGATCAGCAGCAATTTGGACTATAAAAAAACTCATCAGATGGCAGAGAGGATGGAAAAGTACAGTCAATCCAGAAAAGCTTGTCAAAATTTCGGGCCAATTTACTCGAGTTTTACAGGCAAAACTGGTTGAACTTGTCTGAATTTGCCAAGGAGATCAAAGCTACAATTCTCAAGTGCTACATAATTTTAGCTTGAACAAGCCCTCTCTGCGCGGCCACGTCCGCGCGCCTCGCAGAGGGGCTTGGGACTAATCGTGAGTTCCTGGCACGGAGACTCCACGAGTTAAGTCCACTTATGTAGTTTTTCGCCTTTTCCCGCTTTCCTCACTGATAAAAACAACTTTACCTTGCAGGAAGAGTTGTTCATATTTTTGTTCTACACATCCTCATAGCCTCAGATTGTACACAAACCATCTGATGTGGCCAGAAATGTGGCTTTAACATTCTTACAACACCCGCCTGTATTGTGGTCTGTTTTCAGTGCTTTTTGTACGTTAGTTTCTGCCTGCGCCAAATTCACCAAATGTTTTGCACATCCTTATGTTTAAATCACGTACGGTGCGAATACAGGCTGTACATTCATTTACATATGGGACATAAGAGCTTGAAAACTCAACTCATGATCAGGGTGATGAAGTAGTGATACCCAGGATATCAAGATGGAAACACATGTAGAACAAAAATACGAACAACTCGTCCTGCAAGGTAAAGTTGTTTTTATCAGTGAGGAAAGCGGGAAAAGGCGAAAAACTACATAAGTGGACTTAACTCGTGGAGTCTCCGTGCCAGGAACTCACGATTAGTCCCAAGCCCCTCTGCGAGGCGCGCGGACGTGGCCGCGCAGAGAGGGCTTGTTCAAGCTAATACAAAATTATATCTATGAGGAAACACATTGTGCATATGCAGCTTCAACTTGAGAGAGTGCGCTTACCACGGCAAAGCTATCATTTGAGTGTACACATTTGAAATACATATGATCATCAAGTCCAGAGGATCTCACTCACCACTCCACTGTGATTGGAGAAAAACCCCCGGGGAATGCCTCATCAGCTGCAGAATGTTGAGATCCATATCTAGCTTTCAAATGCCTTGACTATGTACATACTTGGTGTAAGGATGGCAATCAACCAATGTCAGAACACACAGGCCAGCCAGATTGCACAGTACCTAATAGCCAGCATACTAAGCCGTATACTTTTGGCCTAGAGCTGGCCTCACAAACGGATTTCATCCATACCCAGGGCCTGACTCAACAAATCAGACAAGGACTTGTGTCAAGTTGGACTACAGTCATGTCTCAGAATACCGCTGTGCTCGGTACATACCTTGTGATTTATGAAAAGATAACTGCTTGCAGTTTGCCAAAGTCTTGATTTGCGTGGGGGGTGATTCCCAAGGCAATCCCAATTCTTGTTAACCTCAAGAAGACAAGCTCCAAGATTTGAGTACCTGCGCTTTGAGCACAACTTCCAAAATGAATGTTAAACTGTAATCACCCAGAACAGTTACTGCATGTTACCATGCTGTGCTTGGTCCCTGACCTCGTTGAGAATACCTCGATGAAAATGCCTTGAGAAGTGTACACATTTGTAAAATTCTCCACATGGGGTGCTTACCAACATATAAGGTGGGTCAAAGATGCCCACCTTATTCTTGTTTACATTGCAATTGGAGCAGCACAGGAAAGGTGTTCTTTTTGTTTTTGATTCTTTCATCTGGCTGCTCCAGGTAGGATTTCTGCTAGCATATGTCTTAACTTGAAATAAGTCAAAACATCTATTGAGATGCAAGGCATCTTGTGCACAATCTTCCCACTTAGATAGTTTTGAATAGCAACCAACAAGACTTGTTGATTGTTTCATCTTGGAGATTTGATGCAATTTCATAATTGGTCTATTTGTGGGATACAAAGTTAAATCTGGGATTTTTTTCCCAGTTTCCCAATTTTTGTTTTTGGCTGTGTTTGGAACTTTCCCATGTTCTCCCAGTTTCCCAGTTTGTGTTTTTGGCTGTATTGAGGAAACTGGGAAAAAACTCCCAGTTTTAACTTTGTATCCCATAATTGTCTTTTTATTTATTTCTAACAAACTCCAATTCAAAAGAGTACCTTTAATCAAAGTCCCTGGTTTTTGAGCTGGTCAGTACCTCTAACCAGTACAGCACAAAAATGAGGGACTTTGTTAAGTTTGACATTTAATTGAGTTTTGTGTAGCAACATATCATTGTTGCATGACACATGTGCTAATATGTGCATCAGTGATGTAATTTTTTTGCCTTTCTAACATCATGACATACTTTATGGGGTGTGATATTTTTGCACCAACCCCTTTGTGCCGGATTTGCCAGTGCAAAATTCCAGATAAGGGTGGGTATTTTTGAGTTTGTACCATTTTTGAGCAATGGGATTGACAAAAACTTACTATAATACTTAGTAGAAAATACTAAAGCAGAAATGTGAGCTGTGGGTGAAATTTTTAGGCTAAGAGCATCCACAGCTGTGTGCTGTAAACCGTGATGTGCGTAGATTTGGGGTATTTTTATCCACAGCCATTACACCCAAACACATACTTAGCTTAGGCAATTCTCTAGGTGCAAGCCAAAATAGGCCAAATATGTTCTTGTTTGGCTTGCACCCCAAATCCTTCTGCACCTCACTTCTCCCATAAACTTCAACTTGTCAATTGCACTCTCCGTAAATCATACACCTTGTTGATCAGTTCACCCATAATTCACCTCCTCAATTATGCTACAAACTGTACTGTAGGGAGCCACAGCTGTACATCATTCATCATTCATACCTCAAACACTTCCCTAAACAATCTGCATGACCCTCTGTATGTTACACATTTACGGCATGGCTGTAGATGCTCTAAGTGCCCAGAAAATAAATTGCTTGGAATGATGACAAAAGACATACCTTATGGGGTGGCTAACAGACTTAATAGTGTGAAACAAAAAAACTACAACACAACTAAAAAACAAAATGTAAGAAAAAAGTAAAGAATACTGGTTAAAAATGAAACATCAACATTCACATACCTGACCTACCCAAGAAAAATGAAAAAAATGAAAAAATAAACCTAAAAGCAAAACAAAGAAGGATTTTACTAAAGTCGGCCCCCTTGTGAGTCTTGACTGCCCCCTTTTAGCTGGGGAAAATAAAACTATAACTGCACAATACAAACATGGGAATCTGGGATGGGAAGGGGACTGTGCGGAACTGTCCCAAATTCAGGTGAATTGAAACCAGAATACAAATTGGTCTCATATGCATGCCAGCTACAAATGGACATGTTCCCAATAGCTGTTATACAAAGGAACAAAAGGGTGCTTAGCCGCTTCTTGATTGCACACAAAGTAGTATCATTCTTCAAATTCACGAGTGGTAGTATTTCAATGATATAGTCTACAAAAATCAACACACTGTATGAGGAGGAGGAGAAACAATGAACAACTTCAAGAACTATTGAAAGAAATGTGAGAGGTGGTTACTTTGGCTACTAAACCCCCAATGTAACTTGTGCTTCATTTGTAGGAGGATACAACTGTTGCTCAAGGGTCCAAGAGCTTGGAAACGCTTTCTTCCAGGGACTAACAGCCAGTTATTGTGAGTAGCCCAACCCTGACAAAAGAGATGAGGAACTTTAAATACACCAGGCTTCACGCTGTAAACCAGAGTGAGAGCAATCAACAAAAGACAAAATAGTTGCCAGATGATATTTTCCAAAATCTCATTGTGGTGGAGGTTTTTCAAGGTCTGTCTCTCACTCAAATATCTGTTTACCAGACATATTTTGGAGGATACAGGTGCCCTATTTGAGACCCCCCCTTTATTTCTCAAAAGCTTGTAATCAGCTCTTAGACTGCCCCCTATGCGGGATAGGAAATATTTTGAATTGAAATACAGCCTGAAAGGGCTGGTCCTCACATGGGGGCTGGTTTTAGTAAAATCCATGCACAATGATACATCATAAAGGATAAAGGATGACCATAATATTGAATACTACAACAAACAGAAACAAACTAAACGAAAAATAAATAACCAAAAGCTTAATAATAAAAGGACAAAACACCTCTCAACCTATTGAAAAAAACTAAAAAAAAAACCCACATAAGTCCTACATCGGGACAAAAAGGGAGAGTGGGTGACAAAATATCTTGAAGAGAAAATGGCAACTTTAGACAAGTAAAAAGTTATTGACAAACGCAAATGCAATGGGATTGATAGATCTATGAAAGATAAGCAACATCATCAAAATTGCAATGTAATAAATATAAGAAAGATCTGACCTGTCAGTACTTTTCACTGCATGAAAAACAGTCCAATTTAACCCCATTCTATTTGGTTAATAGCCAGTTACCAACACCAAATATTTCAAGTGCGTGTAAAAGCTATATGTGTAAAATAGTATGTGTAAAACTTACAGTCATGGGATTGTGTGAAATATGTAATTTTAAAAGTTACAGCTGTTGTGAGAACCATTGGTAAGTTTTGAGGTAATGTGTGTTGCCCAGATTTTACTGAGGTTTAATCTGCGGTCCAAAAGTGACTTTTTTTTGATTTCTCAAGCCTAAACTTTCTTTTGCTTCCTTCTAACCTTATCAATTGTCCTTCATTTATGAATTGTCCATCGAAAGACTTCATCCATGGAATCAAATATAAGATTCTGTAGATTCGTTGGTACCCCCCTCCGGTACCCCCTCCGGCTTGACCTCAACTACACTGACCACCTCCTTCCGCCTCCTCAATTGGCCACTACACCCATCGCTTTTGACATGAGCTCTAGGAATTACTTTCTCCCATTCGATGAGGTACGTAATTTCTTCCATTCATACCAATGTTTTCAATCACGAGAATCATCCTTAGTCTTTTGATTGATATAGGCATGGAAAACGATTTCGAACTCATGCGTCATCGTCACAAATTTCAATCAAATTCGAACTCATGTGTCATCATCAAAAATTTCAATCAAAGAAAGAGGGTCCTTATGTGGTTGTTTCAATTCATCGATTTCACAAACGAAATTCATTCTTTAGGTTGAACCATACAACACCAGAAGAAAAAGAACACCATACACTGTGAACATCATTCAACTTCCCCAAGTTGGAAGAGGAAAATGATTAATAGTACAGTTTGTCATAAAAGGATCCAATACTGCACACCTGAGACATAACACCCACACTACATATGTGCAGCAAGCTAAGTAAATAGTTATCTATCATGTACATACAGGTCTGCTCAGTTTTTTGCCCATCAGAATAAATAAATCACATGTTATACCACATGTAACTTTTTTGACCTTGGAAAAATTGTCGCAAAAATTCACTACATATAATGCTGTAGCTGCTCAGGCAATATTACTGAAGCTGTTTCATAGTAACAGAAAGGGTGTTACATGCAGTTGAGTTGATGAGATCACACCAAAACACTGGGTGGGTGTATGTAGTCAATCTTTTGAATACTTTTGTCAATCTGAAAAAAGTTACAGCATGTATTACATATGAATAACTTATGCTGATGAGCAGATAACTGAGCAGAACTGTATGTACATGATAACCACCTATTCACTGAGCCTGTTGCACATATGTAGTGTGTGTGTTCTGGCTTAGGTGTGGAGTGATAGATCATTTTATGACAAATCATACTCCCAATCATTTTTTCCTGCCCACTTGGGGAAGCCGAATAATGTTTGCAGTGATATCATAGAACAAATAGTCATTCAAAGTTTGTCAATTCTTTCTCTGGTGCCAAAGTTTTCAATCATGTTACTGATTTTGTCTTTGGCACCCCATTATGATCATCAAAATTTTAAAATTTAAAACGGGGTTATGAGGTCATATGACATCTGACCGCATATCGGATGGCAAAGGGGGGTACAACTGATCAGGCTCGAAAGGTATAAAAACTGGTACGTTTTACCAATCTCTCCTTTCTTCTTTTCTCGTTCGTCTCATCGATCACAACCAGTCAGTATATTGAAAAAATCTTCACCTTTTTCTGCTTCTCTCCACTGGATTCTGACCAGTTGGTCCATCATTTCCTAGGTTTCGAAGTGCCCTAGCAAAACTCAACCTTATTTTCACCGTTACATCATCTCTCTGTCTTCTTATCTTGATATTAGTTCGTATTCGTATCCTTTTTCCTCTTTCATCCCTCTGTTTTCTAATTCTTTTCTAATCCTTATGTTTCTTCTTCATATCATTCAGCTCGACAACCACTCAATTATAAATTCAATATGTCTAACCACCAATCGAACATCGAAAATCCAACTGAGGTCAACGTGCCGGCTGTTGAAGGGCATATGAATGCACGTAAGTCATTCTGTTGTCTCACTCTCTCTGCATAATTGGTGTTACTTTTCCTAATGTGTTACACTTTTTCTTCCAGTTTTTGAAGAACCTTCTAACAAAACAGGTGCCAATGCTACAGCTGTCTGTAGTCAACAAGATCCGCTTTACCGGATTGGAACCGCACCTCGTGTGCAATTTGATAAGAAGAACAAGATGATCGTTCAGGTGAAGTTCAAGATTCATGCTGAAAAGGAAGTAGAAGTCGATAATCCTCCTGCTATCAAGGTCCAAGGTCGCAAAGCTGCTCCTGCTTTGGTGGTGCGCTACAACTTAATCGAATTGAAAATGTTCAATTCCGGCAACGTCATTGAGCTGGTGAAGTGCTTTTTTGGGAAGTCCTTCAATGACTTCAAAGGCATGTGCGGGGATATCTGCGAGCAGTATGAGCCTGGGATGCGACATATGGTCCTCAACAGCAAAATGGCGCCTCGCTTGAGATGGATGGGACAGGTTGGACGTGAGAAGGTCTTTCTGGTTGATTATCCGACTTGGCAGACCTTTGTTGATTTACTTGCGAAAGCAACCAAGCACAAGGGTTCCGTGACTATATTTACTGAAAATGAAAAGGAAAAAGCTAGGAAAGTGGCTCAGGTACGTTGTTTTTCTTTTTTCTTGAGCGATTTCTTCTCTTTACTTCAATTACTGACTCCAATTGTTTATTAGACCTGCGCTGCAAAGGAGCTCATTGCATCTGCTAGCGGCCCAACTGCAGCAGAAGCGCACGTGGGGGTCCTTACCAAAGAACTCGAGGTGAGTTTGGTTTTTATGTCTACCTTTCTTTATTTCGGTCCCTTTTCACCACTAACATCCTTTGTGACAGGATGCCCATAAGCGCATCGCGCTCCACGAATTAACGGCTAAGCTGTTCCATGACCAATCTCAAAATGGGACATCTGGAGACGGGGCTGTCTTGGTTCGCCCATGGGATCCATCCTTTCTCTACCGTTCAACTTGGCATGGCGCATGGGTCTGGGCCAAAGGAATTGTAAGTGATTTGACTTTGGTTTTGTTATCATGTAATCAATATAATCTGATCATCAGTTTCATTTTCAGCAATCTGGAATGGCCACTCGGGACATACCCCCCCCAAACTTACGAGTACCTTGCAATCATGAAGAAGTCACGAGTGTTTCACAAGGCCACCCAAGTCAATGATCGAGTGAAAATGCAAAGCTCACAATTGCAAGTCAACTTGTCACCAACCTTTCATAAATCTGGCGCTTCTTGCCATTCTTTTTTCGAATCGCCAGCCCGTTTGTTATTTCAAAAACCTAGTGGTTCAAAGAGAGGTGGTAGTTTGGAAGGAGGTATGCCCTCTGAGAGTGACAAGAAAAAAGTGAAGATAGAACCAGGTATGTTTTTTTCTTGTCATGATTCTATTCATACTCGGATCATACTGATCTTGATCCGATTTCACACATCTGATCAGCCTCCCCATCGAAATTTTCCAAGGGTTTCACTATTGTGATATCCTCTGACCCCCCATCCCCTATTAAAAACGAACTCTCTCCAAAAGATAAATTCCAAATTAAACAAGAAGCAGGTACAGAGATTGATTCTTTATTTCATTTCAATCTCAGCGACTGACACTCTTCCATTCCTCTCATCCATTCCTCTCATCCCATCCGTTTTGACCTCTTTGCACTAGTCTTGCCCTCCAACTTGGGCAAGCCCCTGACTGTTGTTCTATCTTCTGATCACGAATTGCCAACCGAGATAGCCTTCCCTGAAGATAGTAAGAAGATTAATAAAAACGAAGCAGGTCAGTCTATTTCTTCTAACGATTAATTTAAATTAGTCACCAGCTGACAAATTCCGGATGACATTATATCATCTTCAGCGTCGAGCTTCTGTAGCTTATTTGGGAATGGCCAAACTTCTTTCACGTCTACCACTGCTGGCTCCGATGCTGAGGACAGTGCTCAACCCCACGCCAGCGCTCTAGAACGTTTCTTGCTAGATTGCAATGTTCCCAAAAATGACAAAACCACTCGAATGATCTTGAAGCGTGCTGGTGTGAAATCCTGGACTGACTTGATACCAAGTGTCCAGTTCACCGAATCTTCGCTTACTACGCGAGGTATGCACCCAGCACTTGCTTCCCATCTCCTTAGCGAAGCCATGGACCGAGTTAATGAGCTCAAAACCGACGTCAATGAGCTTCAAGATGAAGAGGAATCTGTTCACTCATTGTCCACCACTAACGAAGGACCAGGATCCGGACCAGGTTCCATTGAATACTGATTACATTGCTCAGATGTCTTGTCTCGAATCTGTCCAGCTAAATTCATGTGTGCTTACCTTTCAGATGTCTTGTCTCGAATGTGTCCAGCTAAATTCATGTGTGCTTACCTTTCTCTGATTCCATTGCTCAGATGTCTTCACAGTTGTCTCGAATGTGTCCAGCCAAAATCTTGTGTGCTTACCTTTGTAAAACCTTCAAACTCTTTCTGCTCCCTCAATGTTTGATGTCACAATTTGAAATGTTTGATTGTTTTTCCTCGGCTGCAAATATGAGCCACCTGAACAAGCAAATGAAACGATTTCATTTGATTTCAATAGAATCAGAAAATCATGAACATCAACCTGAGATGATGATCAAGTCTGACTCTGAGTTTTGAGCCACCTGAGAATGTTTATGATCCGATTTGATTATCTTTTTCTTTCATCTGGAGATCATGAACTTGAACTGGAGATCATGATCTATCTACTTTTAGATCTTGTATATCTGACCAGTTAGATATCCAAAACTTTTCGATTAGATCAAAAAGTTTTATGGATCTGATCCAAAAAAAATGCATTTGAAGATTATCATAGAAACAATTGATCACAAGTGGGCTTCTGATCACTTGTTTCTATGATAATCTTTCATTCAAACCGGGCTTTCTAATTAGTCTCGCTGATACCTATAAGGTTAAAGTCTTAGATCAGAACATCTTATAGAAGAAGCATAAGGCCCATATTTATATATTTCGTTCACACTGACTTGAATACAAAAAAATAAAAGGAAAGAATTTATTTTCCTTTGAACAAACACCAGATTCCATGTATAAAATGAATAGAACAAGCGATTTTAGAGAGTTCTAATCCTAGACGCGTCGTATAAAAAAGACTCCATACCATGTTTAGATTCCTCACAAGAATATAGCAGAGATAGTACAAAATAAATTTTTCCAGTAACCGCTCCGGCTAAAAAACCACCTGATACGATGTTTATCAAGATCACAATAAACTGATAGTAGAAAATTCTGATGAAAAGAATAGCAGGATAGTGATAGTAAAAAGAGTCATGAAAAGTAAATCGCTGAATGCATGTTTATATTCAACACCAAGAACTAATAGTCAAGGGTATCATAAGTAACCACTACCTCGGAAAAAACCTTCACATACTTCGTCATTGAATAACTCCATGCAAGCAAGGAAAATGACTGCTCTCTCGTCATCGGCACTCAAAGCCTGCTGCAAAAGCTGAGATCGTCTGAGTCGTGATTTTAATACCGAAAAACCCTTTTCGATGGGGTTAAACTCTGGGCTGTAGGGTGGTAGATAAATTAACCTCACCCCACGCGCAGCACAAAGTTCCTCCACCCTCCCGCCATGGTGGATGGGAGCGTTGTCCATCACCAGAACACTGTTCCTAGCTGGGAAAGGGTTCATGGCTGGGAGCTGAACACGAAAGCATATATGAGGTGAAAGCATATATCAGAAACTGTAAGCAGGTAACACATCAAAGAAAGAATGAAACACATACCAAGTCGTGTTCCAAATACGATTCAAAATCCACCCTTGAGTAGCCACCTGGCTGAACAGAAACGGCGACAATTCCATCCATGGAAATCGCGGGCAAGGCTGACCAACAGAATGCCTGCGTAGGTCTCTGAAGGTGAGAAGTTCGTTGGCCAATAGGTGCTTGTCCATGGGTGCGATACAATCTACGTTTCGAGATGGCAGTTTCGTCTGTCAAGGGTGAAAAAGTCAGTCTGGGTGTATTTGAAAGAAAAATTTATAACAAACACTTACCAACAAAAACCAGGCATCAAGGATCGATGCCAGAAATCTCCTCAATATAAGCCCCACGGGCCCTCGCAGACTGGTTGGGATGAACTGTTCGAGCCTTCTTGCGAGTCCAACGGAGGCGAGATCGAAGTTCGGTGGAGAGAGTCTTCAGGGAGACGGTTCGTCCAAAAGTTTCATGAATCTTGGCCTTGAGTTCATCGAGGTAAAGAGTTGGATCGTGTTCCAGGGCTTGCAATACGAACTCTTTCTCAGGAGCTCCTAGAGCGGATGGTGCGCCATCAATTCCGTGGTCCAGAGGATTTGTGACCACAGCTCGAGTCGCCTGGTAAAGATCGAACCAACGACGGACCGTGGTGAGCGATAGATCCATGCCTGTTGAGCGTACAATCTCCGGGAATGTCAATCCTCGCAAAACCATTTGTACAACAAGCAGCTTTATGTCGGTTCAGTAAAGGGTTTTTGGCATATCGGATGTTGAATTTGGAAGAGAATGTTGAAGGAAGTGCAAGAAAAAGGTCGACTTGATTTCAAGAATTGGCCAAAGTGGTTTTGTAGGAAAATCAAAAGAGGAAAATGAAGTTGGATGAGGATGGATGAGGATGGATGGAAGAAAAACCCAAATTTTGGTGCATAGGAGCGTCGAGAGGGAAGGGGTTCTGGAGGAAAGAGGGTGCGAGGTAGAGAGAGAGAGAAGATGTCGAGGGCATTGACATATCGCAACCTGTAATAACCTAGTGTGAGAGTCAGCCCTGTGGCCGAGTCGGAGAAATGTCAAACCTCTGTCGATCGAAATGCTTTTATCTCACGGTACGTGTGGTGAAAAATGTGTTTTTTTAGTTTTTGCCATGTTTGGATAAAATCCCGACACAACACAAGAAAGGAGAAACTTACCAATGGTTCTCACAACATCTGTACTATTTGACAAATATCACCAAATCAAATCTTATGCCCACATACCACACATACCTGTGAGAGTGGATAGAGGGCACAACCACTGCAAAAATTATTCAACTTCTCCAAGTGGGCAGGAAAAAATGATTGGGAGTATGATTTGTCATAAAATGATCTATCACTGCACACCTGAGCCATATCACCCACACTAAATACATGTAGCAGGTTCAGTGGATATGTGGTTATCATGCACATACAGTTGTGCTCAGTCGTCTGCTCATCATGATAAGTTATTTATATGTAATACATGCTTTAACTTTTTTTCAGATTAACAAAAGCATTCAAAAGATTGACTACATACACTGACTCAACTTTTTGGTGTAATCTCATCAACTCAGCTGCATGTAACACCTTTTCTGTTACTAAGAAATAACTTCAACAATATTGCCTGAGCAGCTACAGAATTATATGTAGTGAATTTTTGGGACAATTTTTAAAGTCAAAAAAGTTATATGTGGTATAACATGTGATTTCTTTCCTCTGATGGGCAAAAAACTGAGCAGACCTGTATGTACATGATGGACAACTATTTACATAGCTTGCTGCACATATGTAGTGTGGGTGTTATGGCTCAGGTATGCAGTATTGAATCCTTTTATGACAAACTGTACTATTAATTATTTTCCTCTCCCAACTTGGGGAAGTTGAATAGTGGTACACAAACATGAAAACCTGATCTAAAAACCCATGGACAAAACCCATGACAACCCGAGTGTTTTTTGGGTTTTGTCCAACGGGGAAGTGCAAAACCAATGGACAAAACCCATGACAACCCGGGTGTTTTTTGGGTTTTGTCCAACGGGGAAGTGGGAAACCAATGGACAAGACCCCAAAAACAATTGGGTTGTCATGGGTTTTGTCCATGGGTTTCCAGGTCTGGTTTTCATGTTTGCGTACCGCTAATGATGTTCACAGTGACAGTTGGAAAGTGTCTTGGCAAACACTTGATTAGAATTCACAATAGGGGGTTTCAAGTTGTGATATTTTTGCATAATTTTTTTACAAAACAGGCCAGTTTTTAGAATTAGGGGGTTTCAAGTTAAGTTTGTTATGGTATTTTTACAGTATGACAACTTGTCTGATACTGTAGAGTTTACCGCAAACATGAAAAATTTGGGACATCTTTTTAGATGTCCCAAATGCTGTTGACCTTATATTTGCAGAAAAAACATACAATGTAAAATTTTAAACAATAGGGGGTTTCAAGTCCAAAAAATTACGGTATTTTGCAGTACAACAATAGGGTGGTTCAAGAAGGGACTTTACAGCCCCTTCTTAAAATTTAATTCACGTTTGGGAACTTTAAATTATATGTAAAATTTTAGGTTTGTGATTCACCTTTAGAGGTGGTCCACCGTTTTGCAAACACCCCACCGTCCTTAAAATCTTTAAGTCTTCTACCTGCTTATCTTGATCAAAAGTCATGTATCAGGTACAAAAAGCAAAAAACAAAATAGCTTCCATTTTCCTTTTTTTGTCGCTGTCCCTGTTTTTGTTTTTTTCCCAGCGATTTCCTCTTTAATTAACAAAGATTTTGGACATGATCGGTCAAAAATGAGACAATTCCTTAACATGTAAATACAGAATGATATATGATTCCATGCTACAAGCACAAAAAAAAAGTTTTGCAATTTAATAAACGGAAGAGAACCACAAAAAAAGGAAATGTTGAAACCAGGAGAGAAAAAAAAAGGTGGTTTGAACCTGGAATTATGAGGTCTTAAAACTTAAATTTAAGGTGTTTGTGGGTGTGTGAACCCAGATTTTAAGGACTGGCCGACCTTACAATTTGGGTTCGACAGGTTGCGTCAAGGGTGTTTGCAAAACCCTTCTTGAACCACCCTAATTTGTCCAAGACTGTAAAATTTCATGTAAATTTCAAAAATTTGGGACACCTTTTTAGGTGTCCTGAATGCTGTTGACCGTATATGTGCAGAAAAAAAACACCATAAAATTTTGAAAACTTGTCCGTTTCATAAAAATTTCCACAAAAATATCCTGACTTGAAACCCCCTAATATACTGACTTGAAACCACCTATTTTACAGGGTTTTTTTTCTGCAAATATACAGTTGACAGCCCTAAAAAGGTGTCCCAATTTTTTTGCCTTCATGGTAAATTTTACAGTCTTGCACAATTTGTTGTGCTGTAAAAATGCCGTCAAAAACATAGCTTGAAACCTGCTTATAATATAGTCTTATTGTTGATCTTGAACATATTTGTGGTATGTTTCAAGCTTTGGTGGGATTCTTGAGATTGATGATGCATGATTTCTTAATTGGTCTAACTTCTTTGGATAGGATTTTCTTTCACATAACCTTAGTTTCAAAGGGCCACTTCACTTTTGATCCAAGATTTTGGCTTATCATTAAAGTTGTAAGTCATTCATTTGTCCCAGATGCTTCTTCTCCTTTTGAATTAATGTTCTTCATATTCTCAGGGTGAAGATATTGTTAGTTGAATCTTAGGAAACATGTAAGTGTGGTTTGTTTCTTGATGTTTGGATGTTAAAGAGCTGATGGGATGATTTCTAAAAGGGCCCCCATTATTGATATGGACTAGTATACGGAGGGCTGATGCAACTCATCCGGATGCTCTCATTTCAATCATGGAGTTCACACACATGGGATTCTAATTCTGTTGAGATACTGTCCTGCGAGGCAACAAAGTCCTGTGTGAAATTTTAGATCATATGGTGTGCTACCAACACGTAATGAGGGCGAGGTTTCATGGTGTAGAGAGTAGTATCATGTTTTCCATTGTTTTTCTCATATGGATGCTCCAAATAGGATTTCTTCTATTCTTCTTGACTTGGAATTCATCAAAGCTTTTCTCTTTTTCTCTCATCTGGCTTCTCTATCTATTCTTTTTGTTTTTATGATTCTTAAGTTGAAATTGATCAAAACTTTTCTTACACGCAGCGTGTCTCCTGAAATACCAGCTGAAGGGCTTATTGTTTGTAGCAGAGAAAAGGATCCTGCATCACTGATAGCTTGCAATTCCATCCATGTTATTTATCTACATGATTACCTGTAGGTTCACCTGCGGCCAATTTTGAACCAGCTTCTGAAGGGATTAGCGACTATGCTCAGGCCCTTCCCTTGTTTCGAGTCTTTGCTGAAGCTGAGCAAGTGTATGTGAAGACTGGCGTGGTCTTACCGAGGTATGCCCTAGTATGTACCTCGCTCACAAAAGTCCAACAACGCAAGCCAGAGTTTCGATTCATACATTTATCTCACTCTGAAGGTTCCTTCGTTGCAAACAAGGAGTCGTCATGTGTAAACACCTGATGACACATGATTCGAGTTTCCAGACGCTCGAGAGTGTTGATCGAGAGTAAGGACCAGGTCGAACTTGACTTGGCCACCAGGGGTTCAACACAGGGAGATCATCCTGATGGAAAGACCGGAGTATGTAATGCTGTGCGGTCTGAACTTTGATGGTTCGCTGATAATCGGTGATGAATCCATCATTTACCTACGTCATTTGGCTTTTCTGGTTGTGCCGTTACCGTATGCAGTGAGATTTGTGCACGTGATATCTGCTGTTCATGGTCGCCCGTGACGTCTCCGGGCATTCGGCGACGCATACAACTGCACCGCCACGGGCCCACGTGCCTCTTGTGTGAATTTGCTCTTGACCATTTGGAGGATCGATTTCTGATCGAGTGTACTTCAACTTCGAAAGTACATCATACAAGCAACAATCATCTCACTCTTCCAACATCAATTTCACTATTACATTGACCAGCTTACATATTTGACCTCAAGTTTCCTCATTTACCAATTCAATCAGTCTCGACAAAACTTTTGACAATCCCTCAGATCACCAAACGAAGATGGCGGGCACATCAGATGATCGGATGCTATTCATCACCATAGTATTCGTTTGTTTATTCGTGATGATTTTTCTAGTTGACGGCACGAGCGCCTTCGGGGCCGGTAATATTCCATCTTATGCATATTTAGAAGTACGTGTCTTATGAACCCCACAAAATGCTTGTCGGACCACAATGAATATAATTGCAAACTAATCCATCTGATTACTAGGATAAAGCTTTTCGACATGGTGACATAGAGTATGTCAATTTTCGTTGTTGGATGACAGAATAAGTGCCAAACCCGTGTACTTCGGTTTTCCATAGGGACGTGTTGGCCGAATTGGCGAAGAAAGCGGGAGGAGGTATCTTGGGAGGTTTGGGCGCCAAAAAATTTGGAGGACTGGACATCAAACGGGCAAGTACCCACTCGTCTCGTCTGTGATGCATCCAAGTTTCCTTACATCTGCTACTTGGGAATTGTGATCAGGTCTACTTTGGAAACTGGCTGCGTGACTACTCGTGCGTTACCTATGTCCACAAGAGTGCCATATCAGTGACTGAGCAGAACGCTGTATTCAATTTTTCCACATACCAGACAAGCGATGGACGTGGCTGGTCTTTCGAAATTAGCCAAGCAAACAATCATCAACTTGGTTATGGCCCTTGGCTTTCTTGCTCACGGTTACGCGACCGGCGAGTTTGAAGTGACTGAGGAGAGGTTCGAAAATTCTGTTTTGACATTAATGTGATTTCTCCCATTGTTTATTTCAAGCTGCTAATAACTGGTGATACTATTTTCTTTGTTGATTGAACTCCAAACGAAAAAGGCTAGGGGTATATTTGCCAGTCGAACATATAGACAATCCCAAAGATTACAATAGCAACAATGATGCACGAGCTGTCCATCCGGGTTTGAGAGGGCCAATAGATCCAAGGGAACTTCAAGTTGAGTGACCTCATATGATATTGTCAATCTTTGATTCGAGATTGATGTGTTGGCATTCGCCAGATTGACCCTCGCACGGGCATGAAGAACTACATTGCAAATGAGACTGGGCATTGGGATACAAGTGCGGCGTGTATCAGACGCGTCTTGAGCAAATGTATTGACATTGGACGTCGTGCGAAAAACGGTGGAGGCGAAGCTGACTATCATGAGGCATATCGCTTGCTTGGTACCGCTGTAAGATTACATTCTCGCGAAGGATTATTCCCTATGGCTGACCCCCATCTGTTTTACCCCACATTCACATGATCGACACAGTTACACACACTGGAAGACTTAACAGGTACACGACCACATACTTCTTCGTTGCATCACTCAAACTGATATGCTCCTTACATTTTCACAGCACACTCAAATTGGTGCGAGCTGTCTCTGAGAAGGCTGGGCCACACCCAGGTATTTTGTCATGTCGGAGATGCCTGCATAATCGACACACCTTCAGGAAGGGCGCCCCCATTAATAACTGGTCCGTCCGCCTTCCATATGCATCGCACCTGTTGCCCAGATGATCATTTGCTAATTTCTCCGTATTGCAGGTGTTTTCGGAGCTGCCGACTTTTTACATTCTCTCCTCGGAGAAGCTACAGATCATATCAGTGAAGCTAGTGTCAGCGACTTGTCAAAAGCGATGTCCACAGTCAGTTTCTTCCCTGTTTCAAAAATAGAACGATACACATATCCCATTTTGACTCCCAAATTGATATATTACGTTGTTCTTAGGCACGCAGTGGACCTGGGGCAGATCCGACGGGGGATGCCTTGAGATCCATGCTCTTTCAAATGCCAAGTGGTGGAGGAAGTGGCCTATCGAGAGAAATGGACGATCTATCTGAAATTCGGAGTCGCACGGCTCCTGGCTCCGGCTTTGATCCTTCGCAGATGTCGCCCCAGGAGCTTCATGCGACCATGTGGAAAGTATTAAAGTTTAGGGATGACGTCTGTAAGTCTGCCTTGCAACACTTGTTTGAATAACCCCAAGTTTCTGAGATTGACATTTCCATCTGTTGTACCACTCCCGTGTCTATGTAGGCAAGTCCATTGAAAGGACCATCGAGAAGATCCCCGGGCTCAGTAGTCTGACCGAGAAGATTGGCAATGCGGTCAACAAAGTACGATTTATGCCTGTTCCGTGTCAATTTCATACTGCTGACTTCTTTCTTCGGCAGTTTGTTTTCACTACGCTTGAGCCGTTTGAGTGTTTCTGCAGCTACATGGCCTTCGCGCAAAACATGAATATGTCGCACTGATACTATTTATTGTGCAAAATCAGATACCTCAAGCCCATCATGCTATCAGCCACCGGGACGCTCCAAGACGGGTCAGCTGCGGTTATCAACAAGCAAGATCAATACGAAACTTTCAATAATCCTCATTGCGATGATCCCACACATTCATTATTGAGCAAAGATCATTTTGGATTGGTGAGCACCTAAATAAGGCGTAAAACGCAGTAGTGTTGTCATCTGATGTCTATTCGCCTTGCCGACCTACCTGTAAGATTTTAAACGAGCCAGCTGGCAATTTAGCAAAGATCATCGTTAAACATACTGTCAAGGGCGTCGTCGAGGCTTGGGATTCTACCTCAGTCGATCCGCACCGAACAGTGAACAAGATTCTAGAAGCCTTTCGTATGTCATTTGACTTATTCTACAGCGAATGTGGTGGTTGACGACGACTGACATATTGCTCATTTCTAGATCATCCGTATTTTGTGGATGGTAGCTCAGACGTACAACGAGAAATGGGCCAATGTGCGTGATTCTTCACCTCTTTACTTTTTGAATCAAGTTTCTGGTCGCCTGATCCAAGATTGTGCTAATCAACAATGTTTCTTTTTCTTAGATATGCGAGATTGGATCGGCAAGATGTCTGATCATGATCGTGGCTATGTACTGAATGCTCTCACTAAAGAAAGTGTTCGCAACGGCAAGAACAAACGTCGTGGTCTTGCTGAGACCGGACCATCCGGATGCTGCGGTAATCACGGCTCGTCTACCTTTGGCCAGCACATGCAAGGTTTTCTGGTAAGCTTTTCATAGTGGGGAGCTCATCATGAGATTTGTGATCCTTTTCTGACTGCATACTGCTGCTTTTGACCCGCGTAGCCAAATCCTCAGCAGATGATGGGGAAATTAACCAACCAGGTTCCCGGTACGAGAATTGCGCATTGACTATCAGATCTAACAGAGCCTAATACTTCTTGTACGTTTGAAAATAGGTTACAATCAGATGCAGGGTCTCATGTCAGGTGGTCGACGCGATATGGACGAAACTAACTTTCCGAGAGAACCTGGGTATGCCTCCGCTCCGGAGGTTCACTCTAGTTCCTCGATCGATGGTGTCGGTGGAATGATGATGCCCAATGCACCAGGCCCTTATCATTATTCTGCAAATCATGAAAGCAACCATGGTCCTGGTGGATTTGCGATGCCACAGACGACGCCGAGCTACAATCAAAGTTACGGAGGCCCCGAGTCGTATCCATCACACGATCCGAACACTGGTCCTCCAATCAGACATGACTCGTATCCTCTTCCCATGCCTGGTAACGCGCCCTTCCCTGGCTACGACGATCCTGTTCAACAATCCCCTTGGGGTGGTGTGAATGTCAGTATGTCAGGCCAGCGGCCACCACCGCCTCCATCATGGAATTCGGGAGATCCACAATCTCAGCAGTGGAATCAAGGCGAGCAGCGACCGCCACCACCACCGTCTTGGGGTTATTCCCAACCTCCACCAGATCAAAATCGTTACTACCCCCCAGGTGGATATTGATGACTACGTAAACAAGGGTCACAGAGTTAATTAGTCGGGGTTATGTGTGCTCACTGCTGAGCATCACAATATGCTTGTGCTATTGATGCATTTGTAACTAGTGAAGGCATCACTGTTCCATCTACTCGCATATATCTTACGACTGTGGATCTCATGTCGACTGAAAATATTATATACAGAACTTATTTGAAAGTTTGAATTTGATGACTTTTGTTTGAATATCACTGATCAGCTTACGCTTGCTCGATCAGGGTGATATGATAGCTTTTTAATGAATTGATACTTTGCAAACACAAAATTATAGGATTACAAATTCTATTATCTCATCTTACCAATGATAGATTTTTAAGCAATAGATAATCATCATCATAAAAATTAAAACTTCAAGACTGGTTGATCTTTACATATCCCAATTACGGATCTAGAAAAAAAGTTAAGGAATATAAGTTTGAATTGAATTTGAACCAATCATAGAAACCTAAATAGCTTACAACTTCGATCTTGGGAAACTCTTTTTGACAATCCGAATCTCTTGAACAACTTAATGGAGAAACCCCCAGTATTCCTAAACTTAGATCCCAATCTTTCATGACCATAGTTGAATCAGAAGTAGATCTTCTTTTTTGATTTCCCAAACCAATGGGTTGCATCTCATGATTCACTGAACTTTCTTGATCATGATCATGATCACGATGATTAATCCAAAATTTTGAACCAATTTTGATTTTCCAACTTTGATGTTTTTCTAATCTTAAATGTTTTGAAAGTTGTGTGATTGTACAACTCGGATTTAATCCTTGATTAGATGGTGGGATACGTAATGGACCTTGACTTGAAGCTGCTTTAAATGTTAAATCAGTCATATAAATTTCATAAATCGATCGTTTACTGCTACGAATGATTGGAGTGATTGGAAATTTGTTAGAGGATGATGAATCCAATATGATTGGTTTGGATTCACTTGGACTGGCTTTTGGTGATTCGGGTTTTATTGATCTTGATGAGTCAGGTTTCTTGGTTTCAACATATGGAATTTTAACACAAATCAATGTACTAGATCTTTTCATGTTCTCCTTTGGGCTTGATGATGATCTAGAAATCTCGGGTGTAATAGAACAACTCGAATCTCTTTGTTTTCCTTTATCCACTTTCATTGTAGAACTTCTTCTCGATTTCTTTCGACTAGATTCTTTAGTAAGTTTATCAAATCTGATTTTCTTCTTCTTTGGTTTATAATCCTCTTCTTCATCTCCTGTTTCAGTCAATCTTCTTTCTGGTGAATGACTAGATGAATCAGATGAAGTTTGATAATGACGTGCAGCAGATTTTCGAAAAGCTTCAATATGAGATCTTACAAATGAACTTTCTAATGAATCTTCAATCTTAGGTATCAAATTCGTTTCTTGAGTTCTTTGACTTTGTGATGGTGTTGGTAAATTTGAAGAAAGTTGTGGTAAAGATGCACAAATCAGTCGATGGTTTAAAGGAACTGAAAGATTTGGGATCAGTCTTGATGATTGGTTTAATGGGTTTATTGGTGTAGAAGTAGAGAATGGTGGGCTAGGAAGTAGAGCTCTGATAGGACTCAGGTTAGGAATGATTTGAACACTAGAGAAGTAGGTATTTGAATCAAAGTCAGATGAAAATTATTTCAAAAGGGAGCTCTGATTTCAGATATGACTCACCAAATGATGACAGCCTGTAAACAGAAGTCAAAGATGTAGAGCAAAGTTAAAAGAATGATATGAGAAGTATGTCAAGTCTTACTCTGGTATAGTCTATAGAGAAGAAATCAAGATAACTAACCCTATCAACAATAGAACATAATTCATTAGATGGGAGTCTAGTTCCTAAGAAAAAATGTAAAAAAATTCATGAATTCTTTGTTTCAAAGCTTAGTACAAAGATGGAAAAGAAAAGAAAACATACCATCTTGTTCAAGAATAAGTCTATGAGTAGGAGAACTTGAAGAGATTGATGTATTGAAATCTAAATTTGAAGTTTCAGAAATGATAGTAGATTGAATTTTTTCAATAAGTGATGAGATTAACCAATTATCTTGAATTGAAACTGTTGCTTTAAGTTGAGGAATCGGATCGGTTGTGATAAATCGACAAATGTGTTGAGAACTTTTAAATGTTGATGATGGTGTTGGTTGTGGTTGTGGTTGTGATTGAGAGATGGAGTATGATGGATCTTGATCAGTTGGTGTTGGTGTTGGTGTTGGTATCATTTTGGTTGGTTTGGATTTCGAAAGAACGAGTTCGAAATTGTTGATGAAAAGTTAAAACACACTTGAACTTGGCCCTGATCATTTGCTTTGGACGAGCTCGAAGGGCGGATGTTTTCAGATTCATACATCTTTTCTCATTTCTTTTAACTTTTGTTCAGCATTCATCTTACTCTGGTCAGGTAGAGGTTAAAATCGATTGCCGGGATAATGGATTCATTATCTTCACCATGACTCGGTCTTGCATCTCCTGCTCTCCACCAGGAATATCTTGTGCTTCAACCTCAGCTTGATGTGATGCATGATCATCAACTCAAATATCTAGTCTTACTCTTCGCAGTTCATCTCTTTCGTCTCTTGACGTCACTGGATTCATGCATTCTAAACATCACTTAAATCCGCTTCGTCATTCCACTTTAGCTTCATGGGATCTACATATGGCCAGCATCAATTTGACTGTTGGCAAAAAAAAAGATCTGAAATAGAGAATCATACCAGTCGAGTGATAAGGTTTAATATTTTCTTAAAATCTGTTGTCAGCTACTTTCACTATAGAGTCAAGACTGATATAGATATTTGAAGAAGCTTTAGATATACCATGATATGGTCTCAAACATCAGGAAATAATCAGTTTGGCTCGTAAAGATTAGGATTATTCTTTGTGTATGATTGATCATCTTTCAAAAACTTATTGAGTTCATATTTGAACCAAATGTTTTTCTCATTCAAGGTTGCGATAGTTTGAATCAAAACAAAAAGGTTTTTGATTCGATCCAGATCAAATTATTTCCCAATAAGTTTACAGAGGCGAGAGTCATTTTAAGCTACATTTATTTGAGAGCTCAGCTCGTTCTAAAAGTTTGAGATAGAAAACATCTTGATAGACAAGTATATAATACACAAAACCACTTTCGAAGGGATCTTTATTTGTTCTTTATGGAATGATATGAGATGATCAAAGACTGGAGTTGTTCTTTTGAAGTCATTCTTCACGAATAGCAATCGGAACATCCTGGAAAAAAAATCGAGTCGTCTCAATTAATTTATTGTTTTTAAAATTGAATAATAATCAAAATTAAGTCAAACTGACCCAAGATTTTACCAATATTATTGGCATTATCAGAGCATATATAATCTACAAGACCAGGATTCCTACACTCTGAAGGTTTGTTTTGGGGGTTTCGGAGTATTTCGAAAAGAAACAAAAAGATTATTGAAATCAGAGAGTTTTTCCATATTCTAACAATCAATGATAAATCAATTAAAGAGATTGAAAAGACTGACTGAAATAGAGAGGTTTAGTTAGATCATTGTTGATAAACTCATATTGAGCACATTGTTGATGACTTGTTTTTTTGTCAGACAATTTTGCTAGCTTACATTCAGTCATTGAAATGTATTGATGACCTAAAGATGAATAAATTTGTATAAATCAAAAAATCCAGTTTATCATCAGCTTTTCTATATGATTTGAAATACTCAAGGTCATTAACATTAGCTTTTGAGATACTTACCAGCAAGCCAGCAAGATTTATAAGCACAGTTACGCACAACACCGCCTCCGGTGCATTCTTTCAAGGTGAGCAATCGTAAAAGTGGTCTGGATTAGCCGTGGGCGCGGATGATGCTGAAGGGCTAAAGGAATGATAGTTTTTAATGATCTCACATACCTGCTCTATCTCCGAGTATTGTAAACTTGATGTTACACGAATGAACAGTGGGAGGAGGAGCGTTGGTAGCGCCTAAGACTTTATGAACCAACAAGGAAAAGAGTAGAATAGAGATCTTAAGAAAGACTTGGAGCATTTTTGATTATATTGTATATGGTAAGAGAGTAAGAGATGGAAGAGTGTCAATTGAAGTCTTGCAACTTGGAAAAAATCAAAATGATTCAGGTTTGAACAAGAGGAATGAAGTGTAATGCAGGCTGAAGAGTCCAGTTTTCTTATAGAAAATCTCCTTACTCAAAGGTGAGGGAGAATTTGATTAGATCAGTCGGGAGACAATTGGATGTAAAAACCACAGGAGCAGGGAAGCTTCTGGATTCTGAGCTGTTGCCGTTGGATGAGTTGTGAGTGTGCATTTTAACATTTCAGTACCCACTTGACGACGACTGATTTAAATTGCCTTATGAATGCACCACCAACACTTCTGGCAACCCAGACGAATACCAGCTTGAATACAGAAACCCGCAAGAATGCGGAGAGATGCGGTATCAGTCTTTTTCTGAGACTCCCTGAGACGGTCTCTGAGCCATACAGGGATAGTACAATTTCTTCCAGAGTGGCACTTTTTTTTTCGAGCGGGGCGCGCTTTTTTTCTCTGGTCTTCTCGGACTACCCAGGACTGTACAAAGGGATCTTGTAAGATTGACCGATCAGAAGGGAGAGATGCGGTATCAGTCTCACCGCGGAACCCTGTATCCTTCGACCTGTAGTCGAGTCGAGGGGTACCCTTCCAAGCGACTCCCAGTCGAGCCCGCTTGCCAACAGGTGCCACCAGAGAACACCTGTTGAACCCCTCCCCCAAACTCACTACCCTCTAAGATCTTTTTTGAAATTCCATACTCGAACTTAGCCAAATCCGGCTTAAGGGACTCGACAGAGCTAACCGTCGACCCGTGAAGGTCTAGCCAGGGCTGAAGTTTGCACGCCGGATCATACCTTCAAACGCGCGAACTGAACTCAATTCGATAACCACCTGCGAACTTCACTCAACTCGATAACCACCTTCATAACACCTATCACTTCCTCCTACGCACCACCTAACATGACACGCAAGATCAAAAGGGATATAACTAACCTACCTTTTCTTTGTCCAAAAAATATGTACGGTTCAGATGTCTACTTTCCAATCGTAACAAGGAACACAGTATTAATAGGGTACTTTCAAATTCTCAAGCAGATTCTATGCAAAATGGAGAAAAAGTTTTGAAATGGAGATCATTCATTGTATCTAGAACAAGAAAATTTTGATTTGAAATGAGATCATTCACTGTATCCAAAGCGAGTAAATTTTGACTGGCCATGAAAGTCATACAACTAAAGAATGTTTCAGTCTTACAATAGCATCGATCACCTTTATGGTATCTTCATCCTGACGGATATCTTTGGAATATCAACTAATTAAAGAATGGATAGATCGGAATCTTCATGAGATTCATGAGATTCCGGTCAAAAAATCAGGTCCGCAAGTTCATTCTCCCAATGTTTTCATGAGTACTCATAGGTGGTAAAAAGTCGAGTCTACAGATGAGTTTGCTACTCTAGACACATGTACAACAAGTTGAGTGAGATGATAGGTTGAAGGAGAAAATTAGGCATTAGAGCTAATGTCATTCTCAAGTATATCTTGTATATCTTGTTCCTTTTCAAATTCTGAATCGATTTTTCGCTTCTTGTTCTGACCGGACTGGTACTTAGGGACAAAGTTCTCAATAGGGATAAGAGAGACCGGGTGAGAAATAAGATCGAGATTGAGTCGTCGAGCCTTCTCTTCAGTGAGACTACAGTTCGGTTTGGTGATCCACAACTTGTACGCAGAGTCGGATGGTTCGTATTTCAGATTGAAGCCTTCATCTGCAAGCCGAGTTTCACAATTTGACCATTTCCACATTTCTTGCGGCTTGTTGGTAGCTTTTCCTGAAAGCAAAAGTCAAGACTGCTAGTCAGCGAGTAGACAGATCAGAATTTGACAGATCTGATACATACTGATGATGTTGTTCAGATGAACCTTCAATTTATCCACTTCTACTGTTGAACCTTCTATTGACAGTCGTAAAGGTCGGTCATTGAAGATTTACAAGATGGAGCAGAGATTACTAACTTGGTCTCTTGGGACGTGCAAGGCCCGCGACTGATCTACCTGTCACAAAAGCCTGCATCCTAGACGTGGTGCTTTCGCGTGTTGCAGATGTACTGAGATCATGCTCGGCCCATTCCCACAATCCGGGTGTTGTTGTAATGAACTGGAAGCAATGATCGGAAAGATGGGTAGAAATTGCTACAATAGCAAATTGGACTGGATGCATTCGGCTCATATTGTTTGCCTAGGATCAATCAAGTTCAAATGAGTAGTTAGCTCTGTAGACAAACAGGAACACAATGCAATGAACGTACCTTCTTGATAAATGTAGCCACAAATTCATTACATTTGGCTTTTGAGAAAGCCAAATTGCGACTTGATTTCCGGAAGCCATTCTTGCGGGTGACTTCATCATTTGATCCCCGAACAATCGTGGCCAAGCCTGTTTGAGTTGGACGATGGTCGGGTATCTCATCCGGATTGACACCATCGTCGTCGTTGTTATTGTCTGGTATGTCGGTCTTGTCGGTATCAGTTTCGTCTTCCTTTGGAAGGTAAGCTTGTTGTTCTTGACTTGATAAGGCATCCCAGAGATTTTTTACTAGAGCATTTGCTAATTTGTTTGTTGCACCACCGTCTGTGCAGAATCCAGTGATGTTCAGTTTTTTGGACTAAGATCATGAAAACAATTACTCACGTTCTCGATAAATCTGTCTGACTTCTTTATTTTTTTTGAAATAATTGAAAGCAATCGGCAGCCTGTGTGATGCAAATCTTCCACTAAAAAAGTTGTTTGAATATAAGAAAGTAAGCTTCCGATATGAGATATAGAATAGATGATGAGAGGCTCACATCTCGGATGAGGCAACTTCTTGTGATATCCCAAGATGTATGCAAAGGATCGCTTGGAGCTTCTCAGTAGAGGTGTGAAATTCTCGTAAAACCTTTTTTTTAGCTTCCGACATCACCCCTCTACCAGGACCAGTGCTATGCTTGTCAGCCAATTTTCTAAGTTGTGAAGCCTGCAATTTGTACAGTTGCTCTACTGTAAGCTGTTCTGGAAGGTTGATATCTTTAGGTAGGCGGGAGGAAGGCAATAAAAATGCATCTACCGCAGCCTTGGAGCTCTTAATAGCTGAGAGACTGTCTTTTTCACGGTTTGGCTGGTCTGTAAGTGAAGAATCTTTGCTAGTTTGAATTTGCTGCTTAGATCGAGATGATTTTTTGGTCTTTTGTGACACTTGCTTGCCAGAAGCAGTATGTTGGTTTGAGTTTGTGACTTGTGAAACGGTGCGTGATTCCGTGTGAACCAAAACAGAACCGATATTGTTAATTGCAGACGAGTGTTGAGGTTGCGGGACCAACAGTCGATTGTTCTGATTTGTATTGCTATCTAGATTGATTCCATTAGGAGGTGACTGTGTTTGTGGAACTTGATTATTTTGATGATTATTGTTAGGCCTATTGTCAATCAAAGGTTCACATGAACGTTGCGGAAAGAAAGGATCATGGTTCATATTAGGTACAGGCTGAGTTATTTGATGAATCTGATCAATTTGGTTCATATGCATCATCCGAGTATCAGTCAAATCAGGACATCGAGGTTGTGGTGGTAGGTGATCTTGATTGAGATTGAAAGAATGATTCTGAGTCGACTGTGTAGTGTGAGATTGTGACACTGAAATTGGATATGTATTGTTTTGTGTAGAATTGAAATCATGGTCTGGAGAAAGTCTTTGAAAAGGTTGATGGAATAAATCAGAGTATTGTTGTTCCGCATAACGCTGATGTTCCATTGCAGAGCCTCTTAAGCTTGTCGTCATTAATTGCTGATCTGCATACTGAGATTCACTTGAGTAGACAGTTTGTAAATTGACTCCGGACATCTTGCAGGATTTCTAAATATTGATAGTGGATATGATGATGGATTGGATATTGCGACAATCTTCTAGTTTGCTGCACAGATGAGTAAGGTTCTGGCGCGTGGGGTTGCGTTCAGTTCAGTTGGCGCAATAATTTGAAATCAAATTAAATACCAAATTTTGAGTTAAAATGTAAATCTTTGACTTAAAATATGAGTTTTTGACTCAAAATAAAAGGATAAGAAATATTTGATAAGGCAGAAATAATCCATAGAGCCTAATTTGCTTCAGATGTGTAAATATTGGAGTGATGATACCACCACATAGACCACGTGACTTTGGCCTTTACTTCTAACATTTTATTGAAGACTCAAGAGCTTATATAATGGAATTTTGTATTTGGAAAACTATTTACCAACCTACATCAGCAGTCACTCAATATTGAGTGTGTTCATTTGAGTTAACATACTTGATGTTGATCTGCTCAAATTATGCTAGCAATTGATTGTTGATACAATAATTAAAAAAGGTAGAAGAAATGTGATCTAGATTTGGATATTTGAGGAATTCTTGAAAGCTGGATGTAGGTTAAATCAGATTAGAAACACAGAACACATCATTTCAAAACTGAGCAGTAAAGCATTTGAGGTTACTGAAGTGCCCATGTCATAGTATTATCATCATACTATATTGTGAGAGTAAATATAAGGTTTTTTGCATAATACAAAACACATAAACATAATACATATATAATATATGAAGAGATATATAATATATGAAGAGATATATAATATATGAAGAGATATATAGTATATGAAGAGGGAATTCAATACTAAACTTCAAGGTGAAGCAGAAATCATTGTTATAGTATTTGAATGCAAATATGAAGGTGAGTTTGTGCTTTCCATTGGAAATTGTATTAGTAAACTCACTTTAAAATTGAAAAGTGACATTTGAGGGAACCCATATAGCATATTTTCACCATCATCAGTATGTTTGGTGATGTTTCATGCTTGAGCGGAAGTTGAGATTGGGCATTTTAAACTTTGAATGCAGATATGAAGGTGAAGTTGTGCTTTTTTCTAACAAGTGTATCATTAAACTCACTTTAGAATTGAAAAGTGTCATCTGGGGGACTCCATATGGTATATTTCCACCTTCATCACTATGTTTGGGGATGTTTTATGCTTGAGCGGGACATAACATGGTGTTCTTTTGGGTTTAGACTACAAAAACTAAAATGAAGACATTGCGACTTTGCAAAAGTGTCATAATTGACTCATTCTAGAGTTGAAAAGTGTCCATGGAGGAGGCACAAACCATATTTCCACTTTATTCAATCCCTTTGGCTTCATTTTGTGTCCCAAACACAGTCTGACAAGATGGAAAAGTGGGTGTTACATGCGTCACAAACATGAACTTGATCAAATCTGAAACATATTTCAACTCAAAAAAAATCAAAGATCATTGAAGTGGATGCAAGCTCTTTGGAGCCCCCCAATGATACTTTTCAATTTTAAGATGAGTCAATAATTACACTTGCAAAATCTTGACATCTTCACTTCAGTTTTTGGCAGGCTAAACCCAAAACACACCATGTTATGTATCACTCAAGCATAGAACATGCCAAACACTCTAGCATATAACATCCCCAAACATAGTGATGATGGTGGAAATATACAATAAGGAGTCCCCCCAGATAACACTCTTCAATTCTAAAGTGAGTTTGCCAATACACTTTTTAGAAAAAATCACAGCTTCACCTTCATATTCTCATTCAAAGCTTAAAATGTCCAATCTCAACTTCCGCTCAAGCATAAAACATCACCAAAATACTGATGATGGTGGAAATATGCTGTATGGAGTCCCCCCAAATGACACTTTTCAATTTTAAACTGAGTTTACTGATACGCTTTTTAATAAAAAGCACAAATTCACCCTCATATATGAATTCGAATAGTAAAACAAAGATTTCCACTCCACCTCATAATTTCTTTGATTACCAACTCCGCTTATAAAACATATACAGATTTTGTCTCAATCACCTCAGTACATTAAAACCAGAGCTGGCTGATCTACACCTAGAGACTGAGTGGGCTTTGATTCAAGACACAAAAGTCAAGATTTTGTTTTTGGTTCCTGAATATGTTCTAGAGCATGCCATCTCCTTGTGGATATAAAAAATCACGACTTTGAGTATATTAAAGCAAAGAATTTCAATGGCTACATAGTAGAAAGGGAAGATGCAACATTGTATCTTATTATTTTCTCCCTCATTCCAATATCACTTAATCAACAAGTTGTTTTCTACATCTTTAAGTTTAGGCCGCTGACAAACAAGAAAAACCGTTGAGTGCTTCATCAACATCCTCCTCCTCAATATCATTATCTTCATCGCTTGCAGGTTCATCATCAGAATCTTCATAAATGTACACAGCACTATTCCCATATGGCTCATCAACTCGAGTTATTTCATCAGCTTCTTGATTCTCCATCTGAATATCATCATCAGGTTTCTCCAAGATAGTGATAATTCCTGGGTTCAATACAATAGCAGACTTTGAATGGATATTTTGTATTTTCTTAATCTGATCATGCCATTTAGTTCGGAGACTGCGATCACCATCTTGGGGCGGTGTTCTCGCAAAGACCTCTAATAGAGGTCCATTCCAGTCTACTTGCAAAGTAAAAAGTCTTGCTAGCTTTTCATTGATGATTACTTGTGCCGCTGAAACCTTACCTAGTCTACTGAGCGAACTTAGAGTTGGATGTTCAACCAATGGAAGGCTCATTGGAGACCCTTCTTCGATATTCTGGAACAATTGAAGTTGAAACAAATAATTGTAAAGAGACTTATGTGAATCGGTTGCCCACCTCATCACCCTTTGAACTTCCCAGCCTATTCGACGAATCTCTTCATTTGCCCGATCGAAGTAAGCAATCTGACGCATTCCATGCTGTGTGTTAGCATCAATTGCCCAAGGTTCACGTCCATTTGTGAATAAGCCGTCATTCCAGAATGAATGATCGAAGTCGATTTTCAAAAGTTCAGTGTACATGATGTTTGGGGGTTGTGATTGATGCGGAGATTGGATTGAATAGGCAGTTAACAACTTCTGATAGCTTTCAAGTTTTGTTTTCAATTTGGCTGCCTGGTCGCGAAGTGTCTTGAGTAGCGGTGTCTTGTCGTTGTAGCCTGTGCATAGAAGGGTGTGCATAGGGGGGAGTTAACTTAAAAAAACTTATGAAAATCATCCAGTAAGTATTTGATGAGATTTATGGATTTTCTTACCAATGCTCGAATGCTTCCCATCACGCCGACTCATATCCAGAGGCCTTTTCTGTTCACAAATGGCTACAAACTGATCACGAACCTCTTGTTTAGCGTACCAAATCTTCAAGATCTGGTCTTGTTCGTGAGCTATAGAAGTATAACATTAGATCAGTTCAGTAATCATTTGGTCAATGAGAGAAAAAAAGTGTACCATTTAGATTCTTGAGGATAGCTTCAGAACCTATCTTTGCACGCTGTTTTTCAATCTTCTTTTTGTAAGAACTGTGTTCCTCGAGCCTAGTGTAGCCTTCTTCGGTATTGCTTGCGTCTTTATCCCTTTTACAATCAAATAAAGATTAGCTTCATGTTATTGACGACACTTTCATAAGAAACCTTACCAAGCATTTTGGGCCATCTCTTGATAGTATAATAATCGACCCAGTTCAATTTTTTGTTGTTCCTGTATATGGCACCTTGAGTTTTGAGAATTGCGCTCATCAAGCCACTGTTGACGTAGAAATTCTTTGGTGTAGGTGATAGTAGGAAACTTGGTGCTTTTTTGATTTGATAAGTTTGTAAGAGCAGTCCAGGCTTCAAGAGAGACTGTGTGGGCATTTCGCAGTCTACGTAGAAGCCATTTAGCTGTGATGATTAAAATCACAATTAGTCATCATTGAGCACTTTTGTTTTATTCACTTCTGACTTACGTACCTGTTGACAGTAACGTGATCTCCACATAGAAACAGGTCCTCCATTCAATATTGAGAAGTCGATGAAGACGGGTTGAGATTCGATTGACAGCCACTAAAGCGGATAGGAAAGACCAGAATCTTTCAAGTCCCTCACCGTCCGATAATCCCCAAAAGCTGTTAAAGCGAGGATTGTACATCACTTGACAGGCCCAATTATGCACATAGGCGTGAAAAACTGATGTGCCAAAGTTCAGGCGTTGGCTGAGATTCTCAAGAAAGCGTCGCTGATCATATGAAGCAATTAGAAATTTGCATCAAATTGGTAGGATAGTATTATAAACTTACTTTTTTGATATGTGTTTCGAGCTGACAGCCAATATCATACAACACTCCAACCCGAACATCGGGCAAATCCAACAATAACTGCTCCAGGATACTTAGTGGGTAATATAGCCTATGTTTGAGGAGTCCAGCAACCAAATCAATATAAAAATCGTCAATGAGAGGGTCAAGTGAATTTGCTCACTTTTCACCAGTTTTGTAAATGTTGGCTAATTTGAGGGGGACATCGTGTCGACATGTACATCCAAAGAGACCTGTGTCATCGCTTCGTTTCCAAGAGGTAGAGTTTCTGACATCGTTTGCTGCAGTGTGAGAGTCAGCACAAGCATTCTAGGTGCGTATCAAGTTAGCAATAGATGGACATGGATTTGTCAAATTGTTGAAAGACTCACTTTCATGTTCTTGGCTAGACCTTCAGTAGAATTCTGTATAATTTCATTTTTCTTCATACTAGAGGGCTTGACAAATAAATTAGGATACTCTTCTTCGGTTGGATTATCCTTGCTGGACCGTGTATAGTGCCGATGTTGAAAGTTACCATCTAAGGCAATTATGACATCTGGCTCTTGAGGCGAAATCTTCTTTTCATTGATAGCTGGACCAAAACAACGCGCACATCGGTCTGCCAAAAGCTGAGCATTAGAAAGCTTCAGACCTTCTGAGTAAATCCGCTTGGTACACAGCATGATTGATCGATAAGTATTGACCGAGTGTGAAAATTGCCTTCGCAGGTCCCGATTATGAATAAGCAACTTGTTTGAAGTGTTTTTGGTTTGTGCATCAGTATCTACTCCGTCTGTTCGTGAATTCAGGAAGGCTATCAAAGCACCAAGAAAGCCTGTACTCGATACAACAGTCTGGTTCCAAAGATGATGGTGAAACTGTAAGAGTGGAATCGAGAAAGCTGTGTGCGGAAATTGAGTCGAGCTTGCGATATAACCGTAATGTAAGAGCCGTACAGGTCGAGGCATACATGAGCAGAATAAGATTTCTTTTTTGAAATAATGCATAGACTGATCAAAAAGGTCAACTGTTTGCATGACAAATTCTTTATCTGGGCATTGACAAATGGGGTCTGCGTCCAGATAGGAGGCTTGAGAAGTCCAGTTCTTTGTTTGATGCTGACATTCAAGATAAGTAGCGGTCATCTGGGATTCGATGGCAGACCATTTGTGTTTTTCACGTTCTCGAGCCTCTGAATTCCAATAGTCTTGGCTTTCTTGAGCAAATTGATCGGCAGCAGTAGATATCTGAGGTTCGATTTCTGGTTCTTCAGGATAAGGCATAAACTGAGCTAGATTGGGATCATCATTCAAATTTTCATCATCAAAATGGAGATTTTGAAGAGGCTGATTATTGATTTCATCGCTAGTAACAAACCCAAAAGCGTCAGATATTGACTTGGGAATTGAAGGAGTGTTGCTTGGTGGGATAGCCTCTGTTCGTGTGCGCTTAGGCCTTGATCCCAGTGATGCGAGCACATTTGTATCTTTTTTGATCTTTCGTGTCATGTTGGGTGGTGCGTAGGAGAAAGTGGACAGCTGGATCAAGCTGATCAGAACTGAGATGGTTAATCGGGTTTATCGTTCGGTTCAACTTCAACCAGACCAGTGAGTTACAAATCCGGTTGTAATTTTCAAAAGGTCCCAAGTCAATCAGAGCTCTGAATCCGGTCAGAGGTGAAAACACTTGTTGGTGTAATGAACTTGCTTGATGTTTGATTATTGCTGGAAATCGAGAACAGTCGTGATGGTCGATCAAAACTAAGAACAGTCGTGATTGCTGATCGAAACCGAGAACAGTCGTGATTGTTTTGAAGATAGATAATGCAAAGTTATCGAATCGAGTGAAGTTCACACTTTTGAAGGATTCACACGGCGTGTGGTGCACTGAAGGACGTCAGCCCTGGCTCGACCTTTACACGGGTCAACCGGGTTTCTTCAGCCGGATTTGGCTGGTACCGAGTATGTAATTTCAAAAAATTTCTAGGTGGTATGTAGTGAGTTTTAGGGGAGGGTTACAGTGGTTCTCTGGTACACCTGTTGGCAGGCGGACTCGACTGGGAGTCGCTTGAAAGGGTACCGCTCGACTCGACTACTGGTCGAAGAATACAGCGTTCCGCGGTGATCAGTCTTTCTCTGAGACTACCTGAGAGAAGCAGTGAGACATACAGGTATAGTTCAATCCCGGTCTGTGTGGCGCGTTTTTTTTCGCATGGCGCTTCCTTCTCTTTATAAGCCTTCCACGAACTACAGAACATCTAGACATCCATTGGTCAATTTCATTGGTCAAAAATAATACATACAAAAGACGATCGAGTTGATAAAATGCAAAATGAGATGTCTTGAAAAGCAGAAGTTGGAAGCATTTTAGGTTGGTTGAAAAGAAGTGATATCGAGTCCTTTTCGTGAAGATTATACATACAAAGAGACAGTTTGAAAAGATGGCGACTGAGTCGTTTTTGAAGAAATCAAGACAACGCAACAGATAGAAACCTCTTACATCAAAGTATCTCGCTCCGATGACAATGCATTGTTTTTCTTGTATCGGTTTTGCTTGCTACTTTCATTCAAAGTAGCTTGTTCCAATAACATTTTGTTGTTTTGTAAGTTGCTTCATTATCAATACTTTGATATGTAAGTGGTTGTAGCGATAGAACCCCCTTGACAATGTTTCAGGGGGATTGGAGTGAGTCTGAAGGTATAGATATAAGGTGCACATGGATGACTCGACAAAGGTTCTTGATTCTTGATGAGGTTATCGAAGTGTTAACAGCTTCTTTGAAGTCTTAATGATGAATTTGTTCAAGTCTTCATACATATGTACCAGTTGCCACCAGCCTGTACAGACAGTGTACAAAAAGCCACCATCCGGTTTACTTTTTTGTTTGTCTCAGGATAGTCTCAGAGCGAGTTAGTCTCAGAAAAAGACTGATACGGTTACGCTCCCGATCAGAAATAGATCAAAATCAACCAATATGAGAGAAGGAACCATGTTAACGGTGATTGATTTTGTGTGTTAATTTGTTTGCAATGTCAAATCAATCCCGTTTTGATGTGCTCCATCACACAGGACCAGGGCTGGGTTTCTCACAGGACAATGGTCCCTTTGATTCTCTCCATCATACACTTTGGACTTTGGTCAAACATTATGATTTCATGGAAAGAATGTAATATAATCGAATAACAGAGTATGAATGATTCACAAAAGAGTGAAACTATTTGAGCCATCTTCATCAGCTGTTCACCAAGCTGCTAGCCACATGAACACCTGTATTCGCGATATTATGTTATGTGAACAAGGTTGTGGCTTGGTGGATTCCCTTCATTCCTTCTCTCGTGACATTCTACAAGAAAACCCAAGAAAAAGGGTTTGGTCATTAGTCATCAAAATGATGTTATTGCAGGTATTTCACCATTAGCATCATGACTGAACAATATCTTTCGATTATATTGTTTCACCATTAAAGCCCTAATTGTGATAATCAAAACCAATAGAGAATGGATGAATATTCAAACACAAAGAAAAAGAAAAAGAAACACCTGTAGGATCAAAAGGAGCAGATAAACGTTAAAGATACACCGATCGTTTTGGAGGATCAGCTTGATGTATCGTAGAAGAACATTCTGCAGGACTATGATTGATAGCAGCTGCACCGCGGAACCCTGTATTGCTCCACTAGTAGTCGAATTGAAGGGGACAAGGAGAACGACTACTAGTGGAGTTCCCCTGTTAACAGCCGCGCTCAGAGACGACTTGTTAAACCCGACCTCAAACAAGTCCTCCGGAGAAATTTTTTTGAAATTCACCACCGCAACTTAGCCAAATCCTGCTTAAGACCCCCTACAGGTCAGCACCGCATGTAACATCGGGTTTGTACCCGATAACTGCTCATACGGGCCTGTCACCAATCGGCCTAGCTTCGGCCTTGTTCTTGCTCAGCAAACTTCTCAGCAAACTTCGCTCACACTTTCACAAAATCTCAATAAATTTCTCACATCTCATCATCAAATCATCAAGCTCAAAGAATGTATGTATAAATCGTGTTGTTGAAATGTATCTATCTAAAATGAAGTCTGTCGAAACAAAAGAAAATGTATTTGGGGGAACACGCCGCCAAGGAAAGGACATCTTATAGTTCTTAAAGAGTATCTTGAGGTTCAACAAAGAACAGCCAATTTACATAAGGGGTTTCTTTATCAAGCCAACCTCTACAGATTCTGATGGTCTACTTTGGAGTCAGACAGGCAAAAACAGATAGCAGAGTTGCACGACTTTATGTGTCGATCAAAAGTGTGGATGGAAACTTCTCAGCGTTATGTACAAGTTACAATGAAATAAGCTGTCGATCTGATTGTTTTTGTGCTGCAAAAGCGAAAATGATCTGAATGAGTTTTGAATCCAAATCAAAGATAAACAAAAACTTCGTTATGAGAAAGTGACGACCACACGGCATCTCACTTTGTCTGAAATGTGAATGGTTCTGATGAATTGCTCCTTTGATTTGTTTTTAGATCGGTTACGGATTGCATCACCGGTGGATTACATACGACTAATTTCAAGTTCAAAACAAACACATCTTTGGAAACAACGATTTGAGGTACTAGTTTGAACAAAAAGAATTGTAACATAGATTGCTAAACTGATGTGAGACAATAATGGACAGGGGAAGCTCAATTAGATGATGTTCGATTCATTTGTGTTATCATTAACATCCCCAAGCCGCTCTTCATCCTCCTCTTCGAGAACGGCATCCCGTTTTCGCTTGTTATTCTTGCCGAACTTGTACTTGAATACAAAGCCTGGAATTGGGGTGAGCAATACCGGGTGAGTGACAAGATCTTTATTGACCAGTCGAGCTTTCTCTTCAGTGACGGCGGAATTTGGATTAGTAATCCAAATCTTGTACACAGGATCGGATGGTTCGTATTGCAACT